TAATTTACACAACCTATAATTTAATTCTTATAACCCCTTGCACAACCTATAGTTTAATTCTTATAATTGTTTATCTACTGTAATAAAAAAATATGTTTACCTTGAAATTATGTTTTACTATAATACAATCTTTTTTATGTCGAGAATGACCAAGACGTGCTACATAAGTAGAATTAAAATTAGAAATATCAATGTTATGTTGCTCACAAAACAATATCACATTTTTCAACAAATCTTGCCAACCCTCCTCTCTTAATTTTTGAATCAAAATTTTATTCGAATAGACTAACTGCATAACATTATGTATATTCTGAGATTATTTCTGTAAAGCTTGACAAAGACAATCATTAATTCTCATAATTTCTTTCATCATGTGTAAAATCAATATGAACTCAAACTCAAATAAAATAGTATAAGCAGCATCAATATCACCTCTTTGAGAAGAAGTTAAACCATCAATTGCAATTTTTTGGAGAACTAAACAAGATGTACTATACAATTTCATCATACTACAAATGGAATAAAAATGTGAACTCCAACAAGTATCACCAACTTGTTTTAAAGTGCCAATTTGATTTTTTCCTTTATCGATTTCAAGTTCACCAAGTTATAACAATTTGATTATTTCATCTGATTCTGCACGTTGAAACTCATCATGACGTTTACTAGATAAACAAACAACATTTATAATAAAAAGCCAAATTTGAAAAAATTGATGAATTGGAATAACTTCTCTTGAAGCAACAACTAAAACAAGTTGTAATCTATGAGCAAAACAATGTACATAATAAGTATAAGGATTATCATGAAAAAATAATGTTTACAATCCATTCCATTCTCCTCTCATATTACTAGCACCATCATATCCTTGCCCACGAATATTGGAAACATCAAGATTATGTTTAGAGAGAACAACACATAATTCTCTTTTAAGAGTAGCAGTTGTAGTATCCTTAACATGCACAATATCAAAAAAACGTTCTTTAATATTATCCATTTTATCTACAAATCTCAAAAAAAATAGTTATTTGTTCTCTTCTAGATTCATTACAAGCTTCATCAACAATTATACAAAATTTTGAGTCACCAATTTCTTCACGAATATAATTTCTTATTTTTCTAGAAAAAATTTGCAAATTTTCCTTTTGAATATGATGAGAAGTATATTTTGAATTATCATCATGGTCTTTAAATGCACAAGCTTGAAATGCTAGCCAACGAATTGTATCAATAGAAGTTTTAAGCCGTAAACAATTTTTGCAAACATCTTCTGAATTTTGCACCTTTGTAATGTTGTCAATGTGCTTAGATTGATTCAATAAGTTTGTACATGCTTTCATTGCATTGTTATGTGGTGAACAATTACTATCTCCAATGTGATTAAGAAACACAATTCTTTCCTGAATTAACCTTTTCTATTATCTAAATCATTGTCTAATAAGTACATTTGCTCCAAGACGACCATTTGATAGTGTACTAAATAGATAGCATGACAAACAATAAGTTTCATCACTAGTTGAAGAATACTCTAGCCAAGAAAGAAACATTTTAAACCAACCATATTGAAATCTCCTAGGATGTTTCTCTTTAGAAAAAGGATAGTTTTTAAGTTGTATTTGATATGGACCTCAATTTAAATAAGTTCTTCTAATTTATTCTCTTTGATTCATAGGATATTCATGTATCTGAATACGTTTTCCTGGGTCACGCTCCAAAGAATTAATATTAAATTCATTGGTTTTAATTCTATAAATCTTAGAAATGGATTCTTCTAATTGAATAATTAGATCATCAATATCATGCTTTGAAATAGGAGAAGATGTTGAATTTATTTGGTTTTCATCTCTACAAGTATCTCTTTCATCACTTTTAAAAAATGAATTTATTCTTTTATGCTTCATATCTAGAAAAAAATGAATCTATTATTATTTTTCTAATTATAGAATCATAAAAATTTATAAAAAACAAAAACATTTTTCTCAAATAACAAATGTTCCTCAAGTAAAAATCAAAATAACAAACAATAATAGAATAAGTAATGTGAAAAGATGAAGAAAAAGTACATTTGTTAATCAATATAATTTCAATGATGGAATTTGAGGAGAGAGGAAGAGAGACGAATAATAAATTTGAAAGTACAAATTATAGAAATAATTTAATACTAATCAATCAATATTACTATTAGTAAGAAAATATAAAAAGATGAGAGAAGATGAAAAACTACTTTTAATCTTTCTTATTTAATATATTCCTTAGAAATTAGAGAAGTAATTAAATACTAATAAAATATTATTGTTAATGAGATAGTATGAAAAAAATGAGAGAAGATGAAAAGGTCAAATAATAAAATTATTTCTAATCTTTCTTATTTAATTTATTCGTTCAGTTTTTTTATGATATATTTAATATTAGAGGGGTCAAAATCATAAATATACAAATAAGTTACAAAACTTTGAGGTTTCATAACCTCCTTAACTACTATAAATATCCGTTATTAAACATAATTAAATATAATTAGAGATAATTAGACCTTGTAAGAGAAAGAAGAAGTCACGCCGCATGCAAACAAAGAATGACCCGAAAATACAACTCTAGGGTTCAATTAAAATGCTTTCAGCAAGGGGACATGATACTTCGAGCAAGGGGATGTGCAAAAAGGGATCCGACAAAGGAAACAATTTCGTCTAGTTGGGAAGGCCCTTACAGAATAACAGAGACACTAGAAAATAATGCATTTCATTTAAAAGAACTGACCGACAAATCGATATCACGTACGTGGCTCGTCTAGCGTCTCAAGTTTTACTTTAGTTAAAGTTGTATAAAAAGTTTTATCAACATCTACTCTTTCCTACCATCATCAGTACTTTTTTCCTTAATAGGGTTTTGACTAATGAAGTTTTAAGGTAGCATGTTCCTTAAAAAATAAAGCACAACCATTTTACTCATTAATAACACCCCTTGACCTAGGACAATTTACTAATAAATTAAAGAAAATAACTATTAAATTAAAAATGTTTTTCTTATACTCTTAAAACTGAATCAATGTCTTTCTCACCTCTCTTTAAACTAAATGTTATTCATATTTCATTCCGGTTCCTACATCTATATGAAACTAGTTTCTTCATTTTCCTCCTATTCAGTTATTTTTTTTGAACTAATTCACATAACTATATATATTTAAATGTTTTGTTTAGTGGGTTTGACATGTTTGGCGAAATTGCAGGTGTTAATGGTGCGACTTAGTTCATTTTTTCTTTTATGAAAAAATTACTTTTCAATTAAACATAAAAATAAAGTTTTATTGTGGTTCGTTTTGATTCAGTTTCTATTTTAAAATATTCAAATCAAACTAAAAGTTTAAGCAGTTTTTTTGGTTAAAATACTTATTATAAATAAATATACACTCTCACATTCATTAATAATAATATATGTTTTAGATTATAAAAAATTAAAATTAAATGTCAAATAAAACTTATTTCATATCAAATAAAATAGTAACTAATATTATAAGTTTAAAAAATAATCATTCATAATTTAAATGAATATATTTCTTAATGTGAATGAAATACATTATCTAGATTTTATTGTTATGTTATTGTATTTATGATTTAATTATTATAAAATTACGTAATTAGAAGTTGGATATTGATATTATATTTTGTTTTATTGGAATAGATTTGAATAATTAAAATTTGAATGATATTGTTTATTGGCACTCACTACAAACCACATTTATAATTGTGATTTTTTATATTTATGTGATGTTTTATATGTTAATTAGATTACTTGTTATAAATATTATTTAATTTTAATAAATATATATATTAATCTATTTTTATTTTTATTCACTTGGTTTTTATTATTATTATTATTTATTTGAACGGCCCTAGTTACAGGTATAAAGAAAGAATATCTGAACCTCACTTTGGGAGTATGGAGTTGTCAGTTTGGTCACGTTGCCTCAGAAAACGGCAGAAAGACATTCCATCACCGCACAACACAACCACCTTTTTCATATCCTATCATAATTTTATGTCTTTTCTTCATTAAACTCATTAGGTGGGTGGAACTTGGCACCAAAACATGTAATCCACAAATCAACATGACCGTAAGCATTAAAAAATTACTTGGGAGGTGCACCAGAGACCATTTCATGCTAAAATAAAGCCTCGTGTTATTCTCAGAAAAATCTGATGTTGACATCAAACATTATCTCCAATCTCTACGCAGTTAGGCTGCGCAGAGAAAAATCTAGAAAGCATTAATTCACACAGAATTCAACTAAATTATGTATGAGCCATTGAATACCATTAATGACAGCTACAAGAGATGCATATTTTTTTTCTTCACAAACCATAAAATATTAATGGAAACTAATAAAAAAAGCTCCACACCAAACCTCAGGTAGTCATTGAAACATGGGAGGAAAGATTCCAGAGAATTATAACGTTGAATCATGCCAAACTAACCTCCACCATAATCATTAAGAAACTATAATAAGCTCTAAACCTATTTTCTGTGGAATCTAACTTGCTTCTTCTCCTTTTTGTATAGTTTTTAGATAAGATAACACGCTTACTTAACCTGAAAAGTTTCCACTCCATGCAAACGTGTCATTTTCATCGTAGTTGGCCCAACAATATGTGCTGCAAACTTCAATCGAGAGCATGTGATCGGTTGGAGAAGTTCATTTCAATATTTATTACTTCAGTATTGTATCCACACATAAATACAGTTATCATATCATATACGTGAAAAATGGCACCTCCATCTACTATATACTCTAGCCATTGACTCTTATTAACAATTTAATACATTACTGAATGCCAGATAACAAGCCCAATACATTTATTATTTTAGTTCATCCATAATCTCTCTCTATATATATATATATACAAGGTTGGCTTGGCTTAGCTTCAACTTTCATAGTTCATATATATCCGCAGATAGCTAGAGTCTAGACGCGTATATATTGACAGAGAAAAGGAATAGTGAGAAGAATGGAGATAAAGGGTGTGTCGTTGAGGAGAGGGTATGAGTTATTGAAGGGTTCGAGTGAAAAGAAGAAGAATAGAGGAAAGGGAGTGGTGTTGGAAGGCATGGTTAATGGAATGAGAAATGGAGTGGTTTCATGCACAGGAGATGGAGGGGTTGTGAGGATGAAGATTGTGGTGAGAAAGAGCGAGCTAAAGCAGCTGGTTGAAGTGATGAGTGGTTTGAAGTCAACAATGTCGATTGAATCTTGTGTGTCTTCTTCTGTGGAGCAAAGATTGAAGCTTTTATGGAAGAGAAAGTATGTTTCCAGAACCAATGGGAATGACCACAAGTGTTGGACTCCTGTTCTTCAAAGCATCCCTGAAGAGAAATTAGTTTAACTTGTCTCTGGATTATTATCACAGATTGCATTTATAATCAGAAAGATTCATAATGTTTAACTTGTTCGATATTTTCAGTTTCTTTTCTTGTAACATCATGTTATCTATAGTAGCTATCATTACTATTACTATTTTGAATAATACACTTGCCTATTTTTATTTATTTATTATTAAATACAATCAAGTCAAATCATCAATAAAACGAAAAATCAATTATAACTACTAAATTTGAATTTTAGATGACCTTATACATCATAATTTATTATCATAAAAGAATGGATGAATTAATAAAAATGGCATTTTATAATTTTTGGTTAGTTTACCAACATCACCATTAAATATAAATATCATTTTTTTAATAAAAAAGAAAAAATTAAATACCTAAATAAAACATGATGATAGAGATGATATCATAACAAAATTTTAAATATTTTATTTTCTTTCTTAAAAATATGAATAATTAATGTTTGTTCATTTTTTTAAAATAAGACAATATAAGTTTTTTATCCTAATATTATAATAAATTAATTTTTTTATATATTTTTAAAAACAGAGTCAAGTCAAAAAATTATCACAAGATAAATCAATTATTATATGAAAAATAAATAAAAAAATTAAAATTTAAAAAATAAATAATTAAAATAAAATTAATAATTAAAGTATTAGTAGGATTTAAATATAGTAATTTGAATTTTATTATATTTGTAGATAATTTAATTTTTTAATTTTTTAAACTTTTAAAATTAAATATTATATGATTTGTATCTCTTGTCAATAATTCATATATTAATAAAAATATTAATAATTTTATCATGATTATTCATATTTATTTTTAGTACAAATTTTATTTCGTTTGACAATAAAAACTTCTTTTATCAACTCTAATATATCAAATTTTCTTTTTTTCATGGATGTTTTAAAAAATTCAAAATCTAAAAAACTTAAATATTAATTTAAAAATATAAACCGAAATATATTTATTTTTTATATAAAATAAAATATATATATCCTATTTATAAAATACAAATATATATATATATATAATTAAGTTAATTATTAAAAAGTTAAAATATTTTACAATTATATCAAATTTTAATCAAATAATATATAATATTATAATAATATTTTATAAAAATAAAAATTTAAACATAATAACCAACTTGTTCATTCTGATAAATATTAAAAAGAATAGCACCATTCAAAATATCTTGTTTGCAACTAAAAAAGTAGAGAATTTTAACTTACCCATAAATTGTGAATCTAATTAATTACTGTTTGAATCACAGTTTTATTATTCAACACACATGTAATGATTAAAAATTCTTAATTTTAATCCATGTCACTTTTAATTTCCAAACCATAATTCCATAACACTAAATCAAATCTACAATATTTCCAAATTTCATTACGAGTACAATCAATCGCAAATTCTAAATTCAATACATACAATTAATTCAGTTAATTTTGTTGAAGTTTTAAAATAATACTATCCAAATAATAAATTTATTCACATTATTAATTATTTTAAAAATTCTCTTATCAATATTATTTATTAATAAAAAACTTATTCGTAATATTTAATAAAAATAGATAAGAAAAAAAAACAATACTTCATACAGACATATTTATCTAAATATTTAATACAATTAAATAAATAAAGTTTAATTTTTTGTAATTTGACAGATTAAATTGAAATAATCTTAGGTGAATTAATTATATGTTCCTTATTTCTTATTATTCTTCCCTTTACTACTATATTTAAAATTACATTTTATTTCAAATTCGATTATCCATATGTATGCAAGCTGTGGAAACTTAGTGACAAGACAAATTTTTTTATTAATTTTTTTAGGAATATAGTTCCATGATGATGATCATGATGATGGGTTGTGCCATGCATGGTAGTTATATGGAGAGCATGTCCATTAATTTGGGCTGTGAAGTGATGGCATGATAATGAAGGTTGACATGGCATATGGTTCGATGCACTATCTCTTTAAAAATTAAATACTTTAGACAAAATTTGACCAAGCGTTCATAAAAAAGTTAAAAAAATTCAAGGGTTGCTATTCAATGAAGTATATTCTTAAGGGTTGCTTATGCTTCTAAAATTCTACAAACATTCGATCTTATCCTACTAATATTTCTAACTCGTCCATTTTTTTTATATTTATTTATTAGGTAAAGCATAAGAAAAAAAAAGGTGATAGATATTTGTGGGGTTTAAATTTGTGCAAAAACTATGGCTAGTGTTATCTAGAAATTGAAGTGATAGGAAAAATATGGCCGTTAAAATTAAGGGTACATTAGATAAATATTTAAAGTCTAATAAATTTATATTTTATGTTATATTAACTTTTATTACATATAATGACAAAAGAAGTGAGGGAAATTCTACAATCATACTAATATTAATACTAATGTATCAAATTTCATTAAAATTCTACAATGAAATATACTTAGAAAGGAGTAGTATTAGGAAAGGTGATTTATTGTAAATTTTTTTATTGTATTTTTTTTCAAGTAATATATATATATATATATATATATATAACTATATTTTATAAAATTTTATAAGTAATAATTCTTAAAACATATATAATAACATTATTTATTTATTATTTTTATTACAAAATCGAACATTAATTTACTGTTCAATTATAATATATTGCTTAATTAAATCAATTATTATGGTTTTAGTGGTTGTTTCCTAACTTTTGTTATCTATTTTTTTTTACTTGGTTCTCGAATCCTAATACGTAGAGAGAAAGTGTTAAATATTCTAATGCTCAAGTCAGTAAGTAAGAGTATAATATGTTAACATAATTTTATATGAATTAGATATTATTATAAAATATTTATATGATTATAAAAAAACAAATCATATATATCTTTTTGACGTGGAACTATGATAAATCCTCTAATGCGTTTATAAAATATATTATTATTATTATTGTAACATGTTATTAAAATATTAATGATAGAAATTTTCTCAAGAAGTGGTGAATAAGGTATTTAAAATCTTTTTAAATCTAATCAATTATGAAAGAACTTTTTCTATTAATCAACTACAAAAGAATTATAAAGTTTTATATAACAAGAATATCAAGAATTATAAAGTTTTATATAACAAGAATATCAAGATAGGGAGAAGAAGAAAAAAACTCACAAAGTTATACTTGGTTTGATTCTTCTTAAATTTACATCTAGTTTTAACAAAATAATCTTAACCTAGAGTTTTTCTTTTACTTAAAACCAGATTACAACCTAATCTAAAGATCTTGATTTATAACAACCTTTTATCAAGATCACAATACTTGAATGTTGGGTACCAGAGGAAAAAAGAAATGTGCACCTGCGGAATCACATATACAAGAGAAACAAAGATAGAAAAACAAACTTAGAAATTAACGTGGTTCGACACTTCTTGCCTACATTCACTAACACACTCAACCGTTTTTCATTTCTCAACTTGCAATTTTTACAAGGACAAAATTGCAAACCCTCTCATATAATTTTTATGAGGACAAAATTGCAAACCCTCTCTTGACACACAACTACCCAAGTCCCCAATACATCCAATGAAGAGTGTAGTTGTGGTGAATAAACTCAAACTATCACCTCTTATTTATAGTAATAGTCTACAACTCTCCTTTTTCAAACTACCCGATGTAGGACTTTGGAGGATACTTACACACTTTCGGCACAACATATCTTCCCTTCATCCAAAGTCTCACATTAATCCATCATCATGACATACCACATTTATAGAAGGAATACTCTTCTTTTCTTTTATGCATTTCAAGTCCTCCCTGAATTCTGAACATTTGACTTGAACGTGACCAAACTCTCCACAATAATAATACTGAGCAGTACTCGTATCCCTCAGTTGAAATCTTCTACCATGTTGATCATCATACTTCTTCTTTTCTCACTCGCTTTTAGCTAGCATTATCTTCCTGTCTTCCGAGGATTTATCACTACCCATAATTTATTGACTCTCCTTCAATGTTCTTATCACATCACTGCTCTGACCCACGTACTACTTATCTTCCTCCCTGGCACACTACTCTTTCTCCTTTAGATAGAACCTCAATTTGTTGACTCTCCTTCAACATCCTTATCACCTCATTGCTCTGACCCACGTACTGCTTCTCTTCCTCCTTGTCTCTTCCTTCTTAGCACACTACTTCTCTTTCTCCCTTGAATAGAACCTCAATTTATTGACTCTCCTTCAACGCCCTTATCACCTCATTGCCCTGGTCCACGTATTGTTTCTCTTCCTCCCTGGCACACTACTTCTCTTTCTCCCTTCTCAATTCTCTTCCTCCCTAACACACTACTTCTCACTTCTCTTCCTCCCTAGCACACTACTTCTCTTTCCAATTGCTCTGGCCCACAGAACATACAAAGAATTAAGAATCTCACAAAGCTCCACCACACCAACAGCTCTGATAGACCCAACCTATCAACCTTTATTTGTAGTAGTAGTCTACCATTCTCCTTCTTCAAACTACTCGATGTGAGACTTTGGATGATACTAACACACTTTGCCACAACATTAAAAATGTTTCTCCTCACAAATTTGAAGCTAAATTGATGTGGCTAGCCTCATATATATCAAAATTCAATACAAGATTCACAAAAGAAATATATGAAATAAATTCACCTTAGATTCACATAATAATGCACCCTATAGTCAAACAAATTTTTTTTGAATTTGATCTTTAAAGTATTTTCTAGAATTACCTATTTTTTTTTATGCCCACAATGTTTTTTATTGTTGTTTTTTACTGTTTGTAAAAGATTTTTTTTAATTGAAAAAAGTTTGTATTCTTTTATAGAAAGAAAATTGTTGTAAGTGTCTCAGATTATCGATTAACATACTTATCTAATCGTTATTTGAGTACAATAATAGTCTGAAAATGACCGTCAATTAGGTATCAATATAATTGATTATTAACGCGTTGTGTTAAATATGAGATTTAGACAAATAATCGATTAAGTAACCACATAATCAATTATTAGTGCATGTTATGAAAATTTAATTTTAAATCATATAATTGATTAAGTATTTATCTAATCAATTTATTAGTACATGAAAATTTGATTTTAAATCATATAATCAAAATTATTTATCTAATCAATTTATTAGGACATGCATCTTATAAAAAATTGATTTTGAATCATATAATTAATTAAATATTTATCTAATTTATTAATACAATTTCAATTTTAATATATTTAATTATTTTTAACTTCAAAGTTTAGATTATTTAATTTTATACCAACTATCCATACTTAGAAAATAAATACTTCTCCTTCTTCGTCAATAACATGTGATAAATTAATTATTTTGTAATCATGAGAGAAAAGAGGGAAAAAAAAAAGTTTGTGATATTCAGTGCAAAAGCAAAATCGTGTTTTGGCTTACTCAGTCTCACTGAGTTCCACACTCGGACACGTAATTAGTTAATTTAGTGATTAGTCATCACTTCACTGACCTTTTATTCTCTGTTTCTTCATTCACTCTTTCATCCATAAATAACCTATAAATTATCTTTAGTTCACATCATCTCTGTTTTGATGCACTCTGCTGTTACTGATTCCCCAGAAAGGTAAAATCTTTTTTCTCCCATCTTCTTCTTTATCAATTTCATACAATGTTGATTCATATTCTTCTCTGTTTCATTCAATTCTTTGAGCCATGCCATAGTTTGAAGAAACTAGCTTGAATTGAAAGAGGCAGTTTGTGCATTATTTGTACAATAAAAAGTTTGAATTTTTTGGATAATATTTTCTGGGGTTGCTTTTGTTCACACTTTTGAAAAATGAAATAACTAATCTTTTTTTGTTGCCAGCCTTATCGAAAAAACAAATAAATTAAAGTTTTCTTTTTGAAAATAATATTTTCGAAAATTTGTTAATCTCTTGATCGTATTTCTGTTTTTTTTTAAGTTTAATAATTTTTTAAATTTAAAACATTTAGATAACCATTAAAATAATGAATAGTATACCATTAAATTTAAAATAATGAATAGTATACCATTAAAGAAAATATTTAAAAATAGTTGTAAAAGTTGAATGTTAAGTGTTTTTCTGATTTACCATGAGTTTTCCTAAATCTACAAACGCACGAGATTTGAATTATCTGTTCTCGCAACTGAGAAGAAATAAATCATATTTAAAAGGTAAAACTTGTAATTAATATGATTCAAAATTATATTATAAATGGGAAAAATGAAATACAATGTTAAAAATGAAATCTTTTGACCAACTGCAGTTAAGAATACTCATGTGGAAGGCGAAAAATGATATCCAAGAGGTGAAACCGATCATCATGGCAGTTTCTATGTTGACCATTGGAATGTCAAATGTGACGTTAATTTTGCAAAACCTATTTTTCTACTTTTTGAAAATTAATAGCAATTTCATGATATCGATCTTTTAAACAATTTTCAATTATCCCTGGAGGCAAACGTTGTTAGGGTAAGGCATATATGTTGATTGTATGTACTTTCATGGGGTTATTGATTTCTGTAAAGTTATAGGTTGACAAATTTCCGTACATGATGAAGTTGAAATGCAGTTACAGAGCATTGTATATAGCAAATGTCTGGTGAAATGGAGTCCAATGATGTTGAATATGTGGCACTGGGAGGAGAAGGTTCAACTCCAAAGTTAGAGAATTTCCACAAGGTTTCAATCATCCCTCTGATCTTCTTGATATTTTATGAGGTATCAGGAGGACCTTTTGGTGTGGAAGACACTGTGAAAGCAGCAGGTCCATGCTTGGCTCTTTTTGGTTTCTTGATTTTCCCATTCATATGGAGTGTTCCAGAGGCACTCATAACTGCAGAAATGGGCACTATGTTCCCAGAGAATGGTGGCTAAGTGGTTTGGGTTTCATCTGCATTGGGCCCTTACTGGGGTTTCCAACTTGGGTGGATGAAATGGGTTAGTGGAGTCATTGACAATGCCTTATATCCAGTTTTGTTTTTGGATTACCTTTAAGTCAGCTATCCAGCTTTAGGAGGTGGTTTTCCAAGGATAATAGCAGTGTTAGTTTTAGTTTTAGCTCTCACTTATATGAACTATAGGGTCTTAACCATTGTGGGTTGGGCTGCAGTATTGTTGGGAATCTTTTCATTACTTCCTTTCATGGTCATGGGAATTATAGCAATTCCAAGAATAAAACCAACTAGGTGGATCATGGTAGATTTGAACAAAGTGAACTGGGGTTTATACTTGAACACTCTCTTCTGGAATTTGAACTATTGGGACTCAATTAGTACCCTTGCCGGAGAGGTGGATGATCCTGGTAAATCCCTCCCAAGAGCTCTTTTCTATGCTGTTTTGTTGGTTGTTTTAGGATACTTTTTGCCTCTTCTGGTAGGAACTGGAGCTATGCCAATCAACCGTGAGCTATGGTCTGATGGTTACTTCTCAGAAGTTGCAAAAGCAATTGGAGGGGTTTGGTTAAGGTGTTGGGTTCAAACAGCATCTGCATTGTCAAATATGGGGATGTTTGTGGCTGAGATAAGCAGTGACTCCTTCCAACTTTTGGGGATGGCGGAACGAGGCATGGTTCCTGAGTTCTTTGCTAAAAGATCACCTTATGGAACCCCTCTTGTTGGGATTTTGTTCTCTGCATCTGGGGTGGTTTTGCTTTCATGGTTGAGCTTCCAAGAGATAGTTGCTGCCGAAAACTTCTTGTACTGTTTCGGGATGCTTATGGAGTTTGTAGCATTTGTTAAGTTGAGGAGGAAATTCCCATATGCCAAGAGGCCTTATAAAGTGCCTGTTGGAAAACGGGAGCCATGTTGATGTGTGCGCTTCCATCACTACTGATATTTGTTGTTTTAGCTCTTGCTTCTTTCAAGGTCTTCGTAATAAGCTTCTCAGCTGTGATCACAGGGCTTGTGTTAAGGCCTTGTTTGAAATACATGGAACAGAAAAGATGGCTTAGATTCTCTGTTAATCCTTATCTTCCTGATATTTATGCTACCTAGAATCTGCATTTGTATTTATCATCAAGCTTATGTAAGAATTAAATGCAAGCCTTTTCTTTTCCTGTTTCTCTGTTCAGTTGTATCTTTGTAATTATTGTAAAACATCAATAGGCTTTTTGTTAATAATGCAAAGGAAACCAATGAGGGAGAAGAGCTCAATTTGGAAGAAGAAGAGTTATTAAAAAATGTCAATACAAGGCCCAAAAGGAACAAACATGTACTAGGGAAATTCAAGGACTTCAAGATGGATTTTAAGTAGTAAATTCAATGTGCTTGGTGATATACATATATATTTCTTATTTTCTTTCTATTATTTGCTTTTCATTTGAAGATCCAGCAGGTGCTCTGTTCAAACTAGCCCAAACTTCCACCGTCAGAGAGTATCAACAACAATTTGAAACCCTGGCTAATCGTATTGTGGGTTTGCCGACGAATTTCTATTTGAGCTGTTTTGTCTCAGGTTTACAAACAGAGTTACAACACGAGGTGAAAGCATGACAACCGACGACTCTCACAGAAGCCATGACGTTTGCCAAAGTGTATGAATCAAGATTTGATGATGGTCGTGTGAAACCCAGTAATGCGTCAGCTTCGACGAACACCAAGCCTTTGCGATCTTACACTACCGCCTCATATGTCAATCAACCGGCCAAAACCACATTTCAACAACATTTTGGCGCTAATTCGGGAGTGAACTCTGCTGGATCGGTACAGTCCAACCGATCACCTATGATTAAAACCATGATAGCGGAAGAACTTCAATCGTTACGGGAGCAAGGGTTGTGTTGTTACTGTGATGACAAGTACTTTAAAGGCCATCGCTGCAAACGTTCATTCATGGTATTGTTAGCACCTGAGTCATCATCCACTGTGGAAGAAGAGTTTTCGAACCTTCTTTTAGAATTGAGTACAACCGGGCCCGAACATGATGCGCCACCCGACTCACCACCAGCACAAATTAGCCTCCATGCCTTAATAGGTCATTCGGTGCCACAAACACTACGAGTATCGGGTAGGATAGGTAAATCTACAGTATCCATATTGATTGACAGTGGGAGTACCCACAATTTTTTGCAGGAGGGACTAGTGAGATTTTTGGGCCTACAAACAACTTTAGCCCAAGGTTTTTTGGTCCAAGTGGGTAACGGTGAGGAACTCCAATGTACCAAATTTTGTAAAGAGGTAGACATTCATGTTGGGCCACATATGTTTCAAGAGAATTTGTTTGTGTTACCCATTTTTAAGGCAGATGTGGTATTAGGGGTCCAATGGCCCAAGATATTAGGGCCTGTATTGACCGACTATGATAAGCTAGTGATGAGGTTTGTCAAAGATGGACAAGTAGTTCAACTACAGGGCATTTCACGGCCCAAAACCACTGAAATAACGGCCCAATAGTTCAAGAGACTTCAAGCTACAGGAGCCATAAGTGAGTACTATCATATCCAAATGCTCGAGGAACAGCCACCTGCACCCGAAACCCGCCCCATACCCAACTCTATCAGTGCCTTGTTGGAAAATTATGCCCGGATTTTTTATGAACCACCAAATCTTCCTCCAGTGAGACCCACAGATCATCGTATTTCACTTTTGGAGGACACTTCTCTGGTTAGTGTTCGACCATACCCTCACTTCCAGAAGCAAGAAATAGAACGACAAGTCACTGAAATGTTAAAGAAAGGTGAAATTCAGCGTAGTTCTAGTCCTTTTTCATCTCCTGTGTTGTTGGTAAAAAAGAAAGACGGGACATGGAGGTTTTGTGTAGACTATCGAGCATTGAATGCGGTCACAAGCAAGGACAAATTTCCAATTCCAACTGTCGATGAGCTTCTTGATGAATTATTTGGGGCAAAATGGTTTTCAAAATTGGACTTACGCTCTGGCTACCATCAGATAAGGATGCAAGCAGGGGAATCTCCAAAAACGGCTTTTTGCACTCATGAAGGCCACTATGAATTCATTGTAATGCCTTTCCAGCTTTGCAACGCGCCTTCAACTTTTCAGGGTACGATGAATGCTATGTTTCAACCATTCCTTCATAAGTTTCTAATTGTGTTCTTCAACGATATTTTAGTATATAGCACAACCCTCGATGAGCATACTTCACACTTACAGTTGGTATTTCAATGTTTGCTAGAGAATCAATTCTTTCTCAAGAAGAGTAAATGTGTATTTGCGCAAACTAGTATCTCTTATTTGGGCCATGTGATTACTGAATTTGAGGTGGAACCAGATAAAGAGAAGATTGCAGCAATGTAGGACTGACCAGTACCAAAGAATGTGAAACAATTACGCGGTTTTTTGGGGTTGACCGGATTTTATCGTCGGTTCATTCAAAGCTATGCGAGAATCGCGTCACCACTCACTGACCTTTTAAAGAAATATGCCTTTCACTGGTCGGAGACTGAGCAAGTGACTTTTGATGCTTGAAGAAAGCCATAACTGAAACACGTCTTAACTCTCCCTGATTTTAGTGAACCCTTCCATGTGGAGATTGATGCCTCTAGCAAGAGTATGGGCGTTGTGCTCCTTCAGCGTGGTCATCCAATTTGTTTCTTTAGTAAAAAGTTTTGTGCAAACATTCAAAATGCTCCCACCTATGTCCGTGAATTGCATGCAATTTCGGGAGGCATTAAAAAATGGAGGCACTACTTATTGGAACGCAAATTTATCATCTACACAGATCAAAAGAGCTTAAGGGAACTAATGACTCAAGTAGTTCAAATTCCAGAATAGCAGCACTATCTGTGTAAGCTACTTGGTTATGACTACGAAATTCGCTATAAACCAGGCTCTTCCAACTGTTCAACAGATGCTCTATCAAGAATGTTTGATTATTTGGGGTCCTTCCCTGCCTTGACAGTGCCACAGTTTGAGTTTGTCTCTAAACTCAAGGATTCCTACGTGACTGATCCGAAATTGCTCAAAATTGTCACTAAGGTGCGTGACAACCCCGCATTTGATTCAAATTTCACTATTGTCGAGGGGTTGTTACTGTACAAAGGAAAGATTTATGTGGGTTCGGATACGGCATTTAAAACCTTATTGCTAGAGGAATTTCATAGCAGCCCTTTGGATGGACACATGGGAATTCATAAAACCTTCAATTGCATCAGTGAAAATTTTTACTGGCCGGGAATGCACAAAGAGGTGATTGCATTTGTAAATTCGCGCCTCACATGTCAGCATATGAAAACCCCAACACATGCCCCTTATGGCTTACTACAACCAATCCCCATTCCCAAAGCTGTCCCCATTCCCAAAGCTGTGTGGGAAGACATTGCTCTCAATTTCATTGTTGGCCTGCCTCCTTACAAGGGGAACACTACGATTTTGGTGGTGGTTGATCATTTTTCAAAGGCTGGACACTTTGGCATGTTGCCAACTCGTTATATAGCTTTCATGGTAGCTGAACTCTTTGCCAACATGATTTGAAAACTCCATGGCATGCCAAAGAGCATCATATCTGATCGCGACCCCATTTTCATGAGCAGCTTTTGGCATGAACTATTCAGATTGAGTGGTACTAAACTACGGATGTCTACGACCTATCATCCTCGGAGTGACGGACAAACTGAAGTCCTCAATAAGGTTCTCTAACAATACCTTTGTTCTTTTGCGCATCATAAACCTTGTAATTGGGGCAAGTTTCTCTTTTGGGTAGAATGGTGTTACAACACCTCTACTCACTCTTCTTCGGGTCTCACTCCATATGAAATCATGTTTGGAAAGCCTCCTACTTCAATTCCTCAATATTGTGTGGGGAGTTCAAAGCTTAAAGCAGTGGAAACTGAACTACTAACTCGAGATGCCTTCCCGCACAAACTGCGATCTAAACTCCTCAAAGCTCAACAATTGATGAAGCATGCAACTGATAAACACTGGCTTACAGCGCCGTTTAAGGTCGGAGAAAAAGTAATGGTGAAGCTCCGTCCTTATCGCCAGTTGTCTCTTGCAGGTCACAGAGTTCAAAAGCTTGCTAAACACTATTATGGTCCTTTTGAAATTATTGAGTGCATCAGCGAGGTGGCTTATCGACTGGCATTACCTTCCCAGGCCAAACTACATCCAGTTTTTCATGCCTCCCTGCTGAAACCTTTGACAGGCTCTACTGATACGATACTAAGGATATTATGCTTGAAGATTTTGATAATGATTCAAGAACAAAGGACTTGAAGTCTTGAAGACTTATAATCATTTGTATTTACTTGTAATATTGTAATAACTCTGATTTATCATTTTGAGTCTGTAAAAATAGTGTCCATGACAGTCAGCACTTAGTCTGTCCACAAAAGCTTCATTCTTATCAAGGTTGCACTGGAATAATCAATTATTGTTGATGATAATTGATTATTGCTACTGATAATCGATTATTGCTGATAATCGATTATCCTGGACAAAATAATCAATTATTGCTTATGATAATCGATTATCCTGTGTAAAATTTCCTATATTTGACTCTGTGATAATCAATTATCTATGTCTGTTATGATTTTTGAATTTCGAATTTGGACCTATTTTCGATGCACCTGTTTCTAATACTCCTATTTTTGAAAATTTTTATTCCCCAGACCCTATATCTCTCTACATAAGGTTCTTTAAGGTTCTCTAAAAAAAACAACATTTTTCATACAAAAGTTAAGAGTTGTGAGTGCTAGAGAACTTTGTATAGAGAATAAAAAGGGGCTTTTGAAACCTAGTGTGGACTAGAAGCGATAAGAATCACTGAGTAAAACTCTTGGTGGATTGTGTGTTATGTCGTCTCTAGGAAAAATTGTTGTTCATCCTTTGTGGATTCAAATGAGGTGTTCATCTCTTGTGTGACTCAAGAGAGGTGTTTTCTAATATTTATCTTTGTATTTGTAATTTGTTTGAACTGTGATTATAGTGATAGCGTTAATCCTCTTTTAGAGTGATTAGCAACTGGACGTATAAAACACTTGTGTAATCTTCTTATCCTTTCTATCTTTATTTTATAAGTATTTTAATCGGTGAAATTTGGAAAAAATTTCAAAATCCTAATTTTTATAAGAAATCAATTCACCCCCTCATGGTTTTGTCCGCAACCACAAACATTCCGCTACGCTCCAACGGCACCAATGTCACTCAACCCATTCTTTAGCCTCTCTCCATCCTTGTGGTTAATAACTTATCATTGCAATTGGAGGGTATGTTCCGAGAAGATGCATCATGGGTGGATCTCAAGGAGCCGCAAGAGACGTATCCCACTCTACACCTTGATGACAAGGTGTTTGTGAGGAGGGAAGAAGATGTTACAGATTGGGAGAGAGATAGGGTTAATAATGCAAAGGAAACCAATGAGGGAGAAAAGCCCAATTTGGAAGAAGAGTTATTAAAAAATGTCAATACAAGGCTCAAAAGGAACAAACATGTACCAGGGAAATTCAAGGACTGCAAGATAGATTTTAAGTAGTAAATTTAATGTGCTTGGTGATATACATATATATTTCCTATTTTCTTTCTATTATTTGCTTTTCATTTATTCGTTGTATTTTTCTGTTGAGCATATGTAAAGGAGAATATCTCTTTTATACAGAGAGGATATTGGAATGAGAAAAGAAAATCACTTTGTGAAAACTGATTGGTTTAGTGGAGATGAACAAAAGCAAAAAAAGAAATACCATGCACACCAGTTTTGTAATTAGGTAAGAGTATAAAGAGCATGCATTATTTATTATATAAGATGAACTTCAACATTTCTAAGTGCCAATGGTCAGTTTTTCTAGAACTTGTGACTACAATTCCAAAGGATAATTAATTTTCTGTCTTTTAGTGTGCTTCCTTATTCATCTTTCTTTCACCTTAGTATTTTCTTTTTCCGGCTAAAGACCTGCCTGTTTTGTTAGACATAGCATAGCCTCCGAATCATCATGATTGTTATTATTTCCTGATAATTTGAGAAAGAAAGACAAACAACTAGGATTTGTTGGCTTAACTCTGGAAATGGAAAGAATATTATTTGTGGTATACAAGATCTGTTTTTTGTCTTTTTCTTTCCAAACACAACATTGTCACGTGCTCAAGCTAAGAAAATGACTCAAATCAAATCTCTTTATTTGCAGACACAATCCACACTACTGGTGGCCGGTGAGTCACATGCAAGACACATAGAACTCAAAACTGATACTAACAAAATATGATATACTAAGAAGCAGGTTGTCTTTAGTTTGAGCCCTTCATGAAAAATGCGACAACCTGTTGATGAGGACTAGGCCAATGAATATGGCTAAGGCTCCACGTGGGAAGGTCCAAATGGAGGGATCAGAAACAATGAGAAGAGGATACCTTGGCAACACAAGAATGTGGCAGTTCTAATGATTTGACAACAGACCGGACTTTCCAACGCTTCTTGTGCAAAGGCATCGCCGTTCTTGGCTTTTCTGTGAACCAACCAAACTCGTTAGTATACAAGAACTTCTTCTGATCCTCTCCAACACTCTAGCTCTTTGATGGAAAAGATATAACCAGAATACGGGCTTGTGAAACAACGCTGCAGGAGAAAGTAGAGAGTAGAAAGTTTCTCGTAGAGGAAGAAATTAAACATGGGAAGCCCAAAGAAAGTGTCACCATCAACAAGCAGCCCACGGAGAAACCCAAGAACACTCTATGATCTCTTTGAGCAGGAGAATCCTCACTTCACCGTCCCATCTTCTTCTCCCACTTCAGGATATGAAGAACTTTTCTCCACTATTTCTTATTGCACCTTTGTTTTCACCTTCACTGACCCTTCAGAATCTCCTGCACAAAGAGACTCCAAGAGGCTTCAACTCACAAGACTCGTCACGATATTGAAGTCTTCCAAGAAGCCAGTGAATGAAAAATTTTTGGGGGCTCTAGTGGCCATGATCTCGGCCAACCTCTTCAGGCCACTCCCTCCACCTTCCAACCCTTCTGCCATCACAGACTTGCCTGAAGAAGAAGACCCCATCTCCATATTTTCACCGGTCTGGTCACATCTACAAATAGTTTATGAGATACTTCTCAAGCTTGTTAACAGCACAGACCAAAGGATACTGAGAGAGTGCATAGATCATTCTTTCCTCCGCAACCTGCTAGCACTTTTTCAATCAGAAGATCCAAGGGAGCGTGAGAGTTTGAAAAATGTGTACCACAAGATATATTCCAAGTTCATTTCTGATCGTTCCTTCATGAGGAAATCAATGACCGAGGTGCTGTTGAACTACATGTTTCAGACAGAAAAGCATACGGGTATTGCAGACTTGCTTGAGATATGGGGAACCATAATCAATGGCTTTACCGTGCCACTCAAGGAAGAGCACAAACTGTTCCTAATGAGAGTGCTCATTCCTCTACACAAGACCAAGGGGATGCAAGTGTACTGTAGGCAATTGGCTTATTGCGTGTCACAGTTTGTGCAGAAGGAGCCTATGCTTGGAGGGGTTGTTGTTAGAGGGATTTTGAGATACTGGCCTGTCACAAACTGTCAAAAGGAAATCTTGCTAATTGGGGAGTTGGAAGATCTGGTTGAGAATTTAGACCCTGACCAGTATCGTAAGTTGGCCTTGCCCTTGTGTACCCAGATTACCAAATGCATCAATAGTTGGAATTCGCAGGTATATCTCTTACTACTACTCCTGTTAATCTTCACAAGAATATTTTATTGAAAACAATAAAATCATCATAGATTATCATTGAATAAGATGTGATGTGAGACTTACATCTTTAATTTTGAAGAGATTTCAATAAACAAACAGGGTGTATTTTATATGATCATACTTTCTTCTCCTGATTCAAGTGCAAGGTATTTTACTAGTTAAGCAAACAATTCACTTACACCCTAATGTCTTTTTTATTCCCTTTCTCACTTTTCTGAATTTTGGATTTGATAAAAGCATATTTTTATTTATGATGCTTTATTTTGTGTTAGGTAGCGGAGCGTGCGCTCTATGTGTGGAACAATGAGCAGTTCGTGAAAATGGCACTGATAGGAACAGTAGAAGTGTTTACTGTGATTGTAGAAGGCATGGAAAAGAACCTGAAGTGGCATTGGAGCAAGAGCGTTAGGCAGCTAACAGAATGTGTGAAGGTGATGCTGGAAGAAATGGATCCAGATCTGTATTCAAAGGGTCTCATGGACATGGAAGCCAAAGAGTCAATGGCACATCAAGAAGACATCAAAAGAAAAAAGAGATGGGAAAGAATAGAATTTGAAGCTGAAAAGAATCAGTTTCTCAACCCACGACGTTATATACGTGTCTCCTACTGAACATTAATGTGTGCAAATTTGTGCTGGCATTGGCAATACCAACTTTCCTCGAGTACAACAATAATTGCAAGATCATAATTGTTTAAAGTTGCTTACAAATATGAATACCTCAAACCAGAAATTGGCAGCTATGGTTTGCAATATTCAATGGAAGGAAATAACAATTAAAAGCGTGAAAAATATAAAGAAACAGAGACATAATACACACCCACATGAAAAGAATCTGACTTTTTGCTTAACAGAAGTCAGGAACTAAACACCCTTCTAAACATTAACTTAGTCAAATGGTTGGACGTGCTCACGTATTTGGTATATTTTTTCCAGATATTGAATTAACTCCAACACAAATAGATACTAATTGAGCCTTACAAAGTTAGGTCTCAAATGACTTTACCACAAATGTCTGACTAAATCTGAATTAGTCTAAACTCATCTCATCAACCTTGTAGCATCTTCCACCTTTCTTTTACTATTTTTTTTTTGTTATTTAAAAATACAAATCTAAGAGTGAAACGCATTCAAACTGAATTAAAAGCCACAAAAATTTCAATGAATCATAAAAAAAAAAAAAATACTCCGAGAGTGTATTGTTAGAATTATTCTTAATCAACTAATTTTTTTATCCAATATTAATATAAATTTATTATTTTACAATTGAATTATATATTACCATCTTTTATATTAATAAAGGGAATACAATTCTTTTCTATTTCATTTTTATATTATATAATTGTTTCCAATTTTTTTAATTATTTTAAATTATAATTTTATATGTAATATTTCGATAATTATTTAAAAAAGTAGCTCAGCATTATATTTTTTTAAATTATTATTAAGTCATTTGTATATTCAAATTAAAAATAATATGTTTCCTCAGAATTCATTTAAGATATAATCAAATTATAATATACATTCATCTTATTTTATAAATTAGTTTTTGAAGATTAAGTTTTTTATTTTATTTTTTTACAAATATTTGTAAGAAAAAACAGTTTCCAGTGCTGGACGTAGATGGTAGAAGAAGGAAATGTTCATAAGATGTATAGGACCCACTTACACACGTGGACACATCCCATAAGCATTTCTCTCTCTTTCTGAACATTCCGATCATGGGAAGGATATCTCCTCATCAATTACGACAGGGGAACTTAGATTCTTTGATTTTAAAACCATGGTTGTCTTTTTCTTTTTCCCAATCTTCGCCAACTTGTCTATTTGTTTGTCCCCTTCTCTCCTATTGCCTCTCAATCGGCCTCCATAGCATTTTCCTCTTTCATGTTTATATAACACCACCCAACCACGGATAGTGCATTCCACTGATAAAGAGGTTCATGAGTGAGGTTTCCGATCGCTGCAGTGAACTGATTTGGGAAACCTTTTTTTTTTTTTTAGGGATTCTTTTCGGTGTTGTTTCGGCTTGAAAGATGTTTTTTTTCAGACGGAGGAAATATGAAAAGGTAAAACGGGGGAGCAAATGCAAAGACATTGGGACATTAGTAAAAGGACAGAGAAACGAAAGAAAGGTAGAAAAAAAAAAAACTAGTTCTTCGATTAGAAAAAAAAACTACTATGGAGACCCAGTGAATCAAAATGACTCTCAAACTACAATTATAGTAATGTTAAAACGAATGTGCATAGGTTTCCCTTTGGATGAAAGAAAAAAAAAACGAAGCATACACAAATTTAAATAATTATTGTCTCAATCAAAATTTAAATGATGTGCTGCCTAAGACAACACCGTCGAAATCGGTTTTCAAGTTACAGCTTACAAACAATTTAACAACTAAATACTCTTGAAACTACAAGTCAGATGATATCCCCCTCCCATACCTCTCCCTCTCTGGTGGTACAAAACTGTGTAACCAAGACAACCTATCAACTTGAACTATATAGATATTGGAAAACTGTGGCGACAAGCACAAGGGTCGAATAAAACTACTTGCCTTTTTAATTAAGGCTTTAACTATAAAGACAACAAAGAATCAAGCATTTCTAAAGGTTGAAAGTCATTCCCCTGTACATTTCTCATGGGAAACTCCATCAAATGAGATGTTGAAGGCTTGTGGAACTGCTTGTAATCATCAAGCTCAAACGAATTGTACAAGTACTGGTAACCTTTCTGGAAACTTGGACCGAGACTAAGCAAGCTCCTATGATTCCAAACTCCAATATTGCTTGACGGCACACAAAATGACCAACAAGGTGAATGCAGCACATACGAAGCTCACAAATTATACTTGATATTTTGAAAGCTTTTCTTTTACTGGAGGATCCAAAGCTGACATACACTGATCCCACACTCCATTACGCAGCATCTATATAGCATAAACATTAATTATAGTTTCATTTAAATGAGCAAAGTAATACAGTTACAACTAAAAAAAATTACCCCAAAATAGATGTGTGCCCTATAGAGAAGCAACACTAACCTGTTTATACCCATGCAAGACCTGACAGACTTCATTGTGTAAATCTTCACTCCTTATTTCCTATAGTCGTTATTAAAAGCAGTTATATTACAGAAAGCTTAAAGCACTTGTTAACTTTTAAGATGATGATACTGATGGCTAAACATACATGCCAACTTGCAATCGCTTTGCACATGTAGACAAGCGAGCTTAGAGCGCCAGAAGGATTAGTTTTGACCTGAAAAACAAGTGTAAAACACCAATTACTTCGTTAAGTCTACGTCTAAAAGTTTTAGAGCGAATAAGAGCTTACCATAGCACATAGACCTCTAAAAGCATCCTCTTTCTCAACATCATCTCGTATCCTGCGAAATATAAAAGAGAAATCAATATACAAAGTAACCTACAACAAAACAGTGGACTTCTAAATCCATGGTCAAATTTTAAAGTGAGGATGTTGAGATGATGATTACTCTCCTTTATGCATGAATTTCAAATATGTAAATAAATACATGATAGCAGGCTCAACTATTGACTATTCTAAGAGCAACTTGACTGTTAGATCATGATAGTATAAGATCTATTATTATTTTCAAAATCCTGCATTACAAGAAGTATCAAAATCTCCAACATGGAGATTGAATTCTTGTACAAGAACTCAAAATATCTGCAAAATAATAATAATAATTCTTTTTTTTAATTTTATGTCCCAATTTTCAAAAATTAATCAAGACCTCAGAAATTTACTATTAAACCAAAAATTAAACAAGATCATCTTTTTTACATGACACTGAGGGCCCACTCAAAATGACACTTAAGATGCACTAAGTTCTCAGACAAGCGTTATCTAAGATCTTCATTTGGACTTTCAGCTCTTAATGCTGGACAATGCCTTGAACACAATCTGATGTTTTTGTGTCATCAATACCATTTATACTCCCAAGGAATTGTCAGTATCAACACAAAAAGTAAAAATTTCGTTATCAAGACATTTAATGGACATCCTCAATATAAGAATTGATGTTATCAAGACATTTATTGGGCATCCTCGATATAAGAATTGATGGGTTCTGTTACCATCTTGACTTGGACCTAAGCTTAACTACATCCCAAGAACTAGTTTGAGGCGAGGATTGTATAAAACTTACAAGCTATACCTTGCGAAAGTCAGTTTCAACAATGTATGTTTGCGTGTATTTATTTTTGTTCTGTTGGAATAAAAACATAGTAAGCAAATGATATTTTACAAAAAAGTTATTACAACTTCTAAGGGAAAACAGCTACACCAATTTTCAATGTGAATTTACATAGTAGGGAGGTTGCTCCAATTTTTTTTTTTAAATCATTTGTTATTAAAGTTAACATCATCATGCATCCCTACTGCTTTTTAGGCCACTAATCAAATCTTCTCCAACTTTCTTTTCTTGAAAGAAAATATTCAACTTCTAATCCCAGACACCACATTTGAAACTGAACTGATCACACTCCCAAGGGAACAGCATCATAACAATTTCTGAAATTACGTTGAATACACTATTTTGAATCCCTCAAGACCTCCTAAACATCTATGATGAGAGACAAAAACAAGAAATGAGCCACAAAAATCTACAATGATTAGTAATTTATTAAAAAAATTTATCATGCACAAAAAATTGCAAAAGCATCTTTTATTATTTTTAAAACATTTATTAATGCAGTAACTGAAGAGAACCAGGGATATTTGCCATGTGCTCATGTGAAGGTCCGTACTCTATAAATTACTAAAGAGGTACAATGACATACATTGACAAAGCAGTGCACCAAGATTGCATGAAATGCTCCATATGTGGTGATACAAGCTCTGGACAGACCCAAGCAAGCCTCCCCAATGTTATTGCACTATTCTCTATAAGTGATTTGTTGAGTCCCTATAAACAGCAAAGACAATAAGCAACTAAATATGAACAAAATTATAACTCAAGAATGTAAAACTATATTGACCTCTGCGTGCTGAAGAATGGGAACCAGGCATGAAATTACAGTTAAGACAATGGGAGAAATTTCTTGACGAACCTGAAATTAAAAAAAAATGAATTTAAATAAAGTAAATAAAATGTGACATGGTATCGTTAGTGCCAGATGATATTATACAAACATTTATCAATGCCAATTAGATTCTATTTTGCATACATTTATATCACTTTATCAGAAAGCAGCATTAAAAATTGCATACCTTCACAGCCAATTCTCCAATTGCCCAGCACGCATTATTTGCTACTGAAATAGCCTCCTTTACCTTAGAAATCTCCTGTAAACCAAACCCTATTAGAATAATGACCAAATAAATGCAACCCAATGGAGATATTTATGGTGGGCACATACATACCAGCTGCTTGGCTGCAGCCTCAAGAAACTCAGACAAACGAGGGTGCAAATGAACCGGGCACACCTAGTCAAATTTCCATAGTTAGAATCCCATCAACTAAGATACAGTCAAAAGAACAACCCTGCTACCCAACCAAAAATGTAAAAATAAATTGTTTGGGTAGACCCAAACTTATTCCACTCAATCCCCACCTTCACCAGACCCAGAAAAAAAGAAAACTGATGCCTTCAAAAAGTTAATTTACTTCCAAAAGACAACAGGAGAAGGAACAGCTACGTGAGCTTGGGTATAATGTATGAAGGTACACATTCAACTTACTCGTGCCAGGTCTCCAAGTAGAGCAAAGGCACTTTGTCGAACATCAGGAGCATCATCCACACAACAATGCAGAAGAAGATCCCTCAAAGAACATTGTGCAACCTGCCAAATAGTTATGTCATGATAATCTCAAAATATTATATAAAGGGAAGTTGAGAAGACACATAATTGCTGTCCATTTTGAGTTTTACATACACTGAGGAAATGCAGATTTTTTGGAGGCAAGGTGAAAATCAAGGGGAAAATATGCCTTTTAGCTTATCATTGATTTCTGCTAAAAATGTAGGTCTTGTAGACAAAAATATAAATCATGTTACGAATCTAAGAAACAATCTAGGGTTGATGCCTCCAGTTTGCAGATGAAACCACCAACATGAATTCAAAAAATATGTTTAAAATGGCAAGCTTTATGGTCACGTTGAATGTTTTGTAGATAATCCAGCAAACCTATTTCCGTCACACAAAAAAATTACTCTTTAATTTTTTAGAACTAAACAAAATGTTGAAAAATATAAAATAATATATCAATATATCTTTCTAATGTTGCAAAAGCCCAACCATTAAAAATGAAAATAATATTTAAAAAATGACCAGCATATGCCTGAATAAAAAATGATATAATTTACACAAAACAAGAAAAAAGGTAGAGTAACAGCCAATTAAAGAGAGAAATGCATCATGTTATGAGATTAAAAAACTAACATTTTATAAATAAATGCAAAATATTTCAAGAAAATAACATCAGAGAAGATACAATTAGCTAACAGGCATCGTTCATATCTAGAAAATGCAAGTTTTGGATGACTACCAAACTCTCTATTCCACTGCCAAGACCCTCTGCTAGTCCAGAAAGCAAATCAAGAGAGCATACAATGAACTCCTTGTCATACTGAACCCCAGTTGCAGTAGAATCAGCCTGAAATAGAATGGCATTCAGAAGATAAAATAAATATCAAATTAACTCCTATTGGTAAGTGGTACTACAGTATTTTATTGGACAAATAATAAATAAAGGTGTTCAAGGAAATACATCTTTTGGACTCAAACAGCACAAGAGGACATTAATTTTATAACAAAGGTATAGACCATACATAATAATAACATAAAACTTGATAATTGTTGGTTATAAGTATATCAGATACCTGTGTACATATATAGCATGACTAGTAGCGTTTGACTGGTCAATAAGAGATAAATATACAGAAGAGATAACAGCACATTCTAGTAGTTTACATGATATTTACAAGAATGATTTCGATTATGGTAGAGAATATTTCTTCAGAGTAGTTGCCCTATTTTGTAAGTTCACATGTTTCCTGATATCTTACGATTTGTTACCTTTTTTAGTTAGGATCATTAGTATAACTAAGGCATAACACTGTAGATTTTATAATCATATTGTACTAAAACTTCTCTCTCTCTCTCTTTATGCACATACATATACACACACACATGCGCATAATAGACTATCACTTGAATGTGAGATTTAGAAGGAAAAAACTTGAAGCATTAACAAGGTGACAAATGAAATGTCAGACAACACCTAGAAAACAACCAAAAATTTGAGTTTTCAAAGAGTATAGTGCAAACTAAATTTTAAAAGATATTAACCCGAACCTTAGCAAACTGTTGGGTCTGGATTATATTTATGCACCTCCTAAATACAGGTTCAGCAAATTGAGTGAAACCAGTTCCCAGAGCCTGCATCATTGAAAACAACATCAGAAGCAACAAAAAACATGAGGATGATACATATACAAACCATACAAAAATGTCATATTATATACATAGCTTCCCTAAATGCAATGCATTTATTAACAAGAGAATCAGAATGATAACCTAACCTATGAGTTTAAATGTAATAGACAAATTGAAACTTCCTTTTGGAATTACATTTGACCCCGTCATCTTAGTATCATAAATAAAATCCCCTAAGCTGTATCCAGTTTGCATATAACTTTTTAAGCAGTTTAACATGAAATTGAATTTTCAAGAAGCATACGCAAGTGCCTTCTGCATTGTGCCAATAATGTCAAGAGGATATACTGCGCATTGCCAGCTCAACAGCTTTATAATCTTCAATTAGTTACTGTGAAATTCTTCATTGACACATAAGAAATGGAAATCTATAGTCAAAGAACAACCTAGAGTTTGCAAGTCTACCAGCACACTCGGTCAAAATTCAAACATCCATATTCATAATAAATGTCATGAACAGTAACTGACAACAAAACTGAGCAACATTATTTTAATATATAATATGTTGGAGAAACTGATATCCGTACATGTGCTATAGATGTAAAGCATTCCAGGAGTGGAAAAAGATCTTTGTCTGAATTTGAAAGTTGCTGCCACTTCTCGATTAATGGTGGCATGAGAATGTCAAGATAAACAGGCTGCAAAGCAAGGAGAGATATAGTAGGTAAAGAAATGTCTTTTGAAACAAAAGGGAGAGAATATCAGTAATAAACCATGACAAGTAACTTGGGAAGAAAGAGAAAAATTAGTTTGAGGAAGAAGATTGAAAATTGCATACCTGATTCAACTCTCCTCCAACAGCTTCAGCTAGAGTTCCAATTGCATCGTATACAATTCTGAGGTTTCGTCTCTGAAATTAAAAGACTATATAATTAAAGATGTCTAAGCATACCTCGTGATGATAGGAGACGTAGCACAATATAGAGGCAGTGTTCATCCAAACACTACTATTTCTACAAGAAACAAAAAGAAAATATTATGTATTAACTATTAAGGTCAGGAAATCACTTGATATTTCCCAAATGCAGTCATCAGGTGCTTCAGTATAATTTCCAAGCGTGGTGCCAACTCTTCAGCAGCCTCCTATTATAAGTTTTGTAAACCAAATATAAGATTACATAAATTTAAAATATATAAGTAACTTATCAATTCATCGAGAGTAAATGAACAGAAATTGCAGTCAGAACCTCTTCAAGAGTTGCAAAAGCTGAACAAGCAGCCTCTTGCACCCGCTTATTGTCATCCAAAATTCTTCGTAGAAGCCCCATAAGAACATTATCAAATTGTTCATATCCTTTAGGATGTCCAATACCCTAAAATACACAAATTAAAATTAAACCAAAATTATATAACAAAATCTCAATATTTATGCATGGCTAAACTTAATATCAGCTCATATAGGTGTTGAATATAATATTAGCTTGTGCTTTGTCATTTACTAATAGCCAGGACAACATATAATATTCCAATGGATCAAGATCCTATGAGACTGATGCATCATTTTGCAAATATCTACAAACTCCTCTTATATTATAACATCTTTAAGTTCAAACTTGATTACTAATACACAAATATAGAAGTGATAGAGCATATTAAAATAATTAGTAATAATAATATCAGGACTATAGAATATAACATAATAATATAGATTTGGAATATCTGCTAAATAGTAATTAGAGATTTGATTGTAAATGCTATTTAATATTTCTATAGCTTTCTCCAACTGATCAAAATCATATGAACTACATAAAGTTGTAGAACTGTAAAGGAATCGGTGCCAAAAATCATAGCTGTGCAATAGCAGATGAGGGAGCAAAATACATTCATACCTGAACAATAAATTTGCTAAATCGAGATAGTGTCCAGCATGAAATACTTCGTATCAGAGGAAACTTATCATCAAGTAGTGGGATAAGAAATGCCACAATCTATAAATGAAGAACAAAGTATTGTGCAATATTCTGAATTAGAAAGAAGGGCACATAAAATAATAAAATAAAAAAATTCTGACAAATTTGTAAGCATATAAAATCAACAAAGCAGATCATAATACAAGACTCAGTAAAATAAGAATCATAGGGACTAACTAACAGATTAACAAAATGTTGCAATAACTTTCCTTCTTTTAAATCAATAATGTTGTCAAGATTGAGATTCTACTCAGGATCTGACTGGGTCTTCTAGATCTTAAAACATAGGAATGTAACAAGGATTACAAGATTACCAAAAATGTAAATTATACCACTATAGATAATAAACACATTGAAAATAGGGGGATACCTATAAATAAGAACATTAAAGAAAACTTTAAACAAACTTTCATAACCATAACATCCAAAACTCAAATTAGCATTCATTTGATTAAAACAAAAGATGCAAAAATGATTAGAGAGACGGAAAAGTAGAAGCTGGGCTTCCCTTCCTTTGCTTGGGAGTGTGTAAAGAAGGAAGGAAATAATAGTTTTTGAGAGGATAGAATATTGTCAAAATAGGACAAAAAAGAGAAGAAAGCTTTTTTTATGTGTTAAGTTTCCAACATAAAACCAATTGACAATATGTGGAGTAGTCCAACAGGTATTTAAACCATACCACATGACATGAGGTAGGCGATGTGAGACTACCGACATGAAATGACAAAAAAGAAACTATTTAACTCACATTTCAGGTTTGTCATTTTACACATGTTCTCTTTCCTACCAAACAATCTAAAAATCATCCCACTTCCCACTATTTTTTGTACCCCTCTTCTTTCCTTCTCCTCTCTTTTCACACTCGTTCTTTCTTTCACTTGGTTTCCTAAACAAAACAACACATAAATAACAACCAGCCCCTGCCCCAGTATCATCATGCCCAGAAGAAGCCATTTTTCAGTGATTACCAAGCAATCTAAAACACTAAACCAGCACCAGAGATAGGGAAGAAATGTGAATATGTAAAGGGAATCAGAAAGAAAAACAAGAGAGTGACAGGCAAGTTGGGGAAGAATACTTCAAGACAGATATTTGATAATTCTTCATTTAATCCTATGATCAAAAACATTTCGGACAATAAGAAAAAACAGAATTTGAAAGTTATTACTTTTGGTTAATAATGCCAAAATCTAAAGTCAGCTCACTCATATGAGAGAAATAGAACAGATAAACAGCAGTTTAGTACACCAAGCAGTGACCTGCAAAGTGGTTAGGAAAGATGTAAGGGGCTGAACAAGAACAACGTCTGATTTGGGAAGCAAAAGTCATACTTTAGGGCACAAAATGGGATAAAATCTGGGTTTATGTGAACCAAAATCTAAAACTTTAGGATCAACAAAACTCGCACAATCTCCTGATCACTTAAATTTGTGTTTTGAGTTGTAATCCAGATCAGTACAGGGCAAAAAGATAGTAAGACCATGTGAACTTAAAATCTAGATTGTGATTTTAACAACATTGAGCATGAATTTCAAATAGTAGATTATCCAGAAAGTATAATAATTACCTGCCAGTAAATGTATAATTGAACATAAGTAAGAATAGATTATCACAAAAGGGGATAAAGGAAAGACTGAACTATGTAATTTAGAAAGCTTGAATAATTCTAGAAGTAATCACAGGGAATGAATTTTTTTTTAAATGACTAGTAATAAGAGAAGGAAGTAAAAAGAAGTTGTGTAGACAGAAGCAAGACCGGTTTTAGAGATATAAAGGGAGTGAATAGAGAAAACGAAACTTTGAAAAACATATACCTGTGTTCTATGATGTATAGGAAAGATGTACTGCAAATGTATGTAAAACATAGGGCACTAACCATTATTTATTTTAGTTTTGATCCTAACTATACTAAAGAAACAAATGATGAAATATTAGGGAATGCAGAAACTAAGAAAATAGACAAACTAACGAGAAGTGATAAAAATTTTAGGATACAATTAGATTATTATATATTATTGGATACTCAGAATAACTATAAAATACAATATCAACATTAATAAGATATTTCAACACAGACGTGCATAAATTAAGTTATAAAATCATTCAAGCATACATTAATCAAATTTTAAAACAAGCAAAAGATTTTTTCCTGCAATCAAGCCATTTACTTTTGGATTGAAATCATCAGAACCAAACAACAGAAAATACCTCCAATAGATGAGGATAAAGACCATTGATGCAGCCTTCACCTATGGCACCAAGAGCCAAGACAGCAGCTTCCCTTTCTTTCCAAGCATCATCCCCACCAGCAGACAACTTAGCCTGCAAATTCTCAGAAATTTTAGTATATCAGCGTAAAAATGAAGAAAGGCTGGTGGAGAAATTACCATCATAAAATAGTTTTCATAAATGTCTTATGTATATAAACCTGTGTTTCATCCATTATCGTTAAGCATGGTGTGCCTTTAATTAATAGAGCACTAGTTTGACTGGTACTTATTCTTATTCACTATGATATATAGAACATAACCACATTAGAAAATTACCACAAGAAGCGTAAATCACCTCAACAATAGGCATAAGAGTAGGAAGAATCTCATCTCCAAACACATTTGAAAGAATATCAAGAGCAGCTGCGCTGCATTTCCTTAAATTCCATGTGTTGACAACATCATCATCCTATAAATATGAAAATAAAAATTTTGACTTCAAATTGTAAAGCAAATTTTTATCAGCTCATTTTTCAAACGCTACAAAAACCGCTATTAAATAAGGGAAAGAAGATTAATCAAATAATTAGAATAAGCAAACAATAAAGCAAGTACAACATACATCATCTTCTACGTCGTCTGATCCATGAAACCTTGATACATGAAATCGCGGCTTAAGATCCTATGGTGCAAAACAAATAAAATTAGATATATGATGTCTCAAAATAAAGAAAAGCCAGTAAGTCAACTAATAAACAATCAGACCTGATCTCTATCAGGTTGAGATCCATCTTCCTGGAAAAAAAAATTTATACAAACAAATGAAGTCATAAACAATAACTAATTGCAATCCACCTGTAAATATTAATCAATCGAAAAGAAAACCTCAGCTTCAATAAGTGATTCGTCATCATCAGCATAAGCCATGTTTGACAACAATACCTACATGAATGCAAAAAATTATCTTCAAATTCCAATATTAAATGGCAAAACAATTATAAAAGAGAAAGTGTATAATTTGATTTACTGGAATAAGACGTGGCAAGAATTCTCTTAAGTTTTCAGGTGGCAGTTGAGCATCACAATAAGCAGACCTGCAACAGAAATTATTAAAAAAAGGAAAGATGCAAAATAGCAAAAGCTCCCAGGATTTAGAAATATACAGTTTCAGTACAGTTAGAAATTTTAAATAAGTTTAACAAAGAATATAGCATCACAACATAATAGAAACATCAAACTCTTATTTGCATCAGCATGCCGATATTCGAAGCATGAAATTGATTCTCCATATACCATGGTCGCAACCAACAACAGAGAAAATAAACCCCAGTTATCAATCTCAAACTTTAGTATAAAATGAACATACATAGCTAGACAACACTATCAGTTGAGAACTGCATGTTTAAAATTAAAATACATTACAACCACCTGAAACCCCTCCTCCCAGTAAAAAAAGTAACACAATAGAACAAAATACCAATAATTAAGTTTATTATTTTGCTTGTGATTCATTATAATATCAAACGCTACGTGATGAACTACAGTTACTACTTTTACCATTAAGAAAATAACATGCCAAACAAATAGTACCAAAATTCACAGGCTTCCAGGGCTACTTCATCATCTGTGTCCTTGTTGACTTGTAACATGTATTCAATCACATTCCTTAAATGTGGCTGCAGTGTGTTAATATGCATTAGATAAGAGAGAGAAGATAAAAATAACATTAATTTTAAACAAAGTAAATAGGTAAGACACTTGGTGCTTGCTTGTTTGAGTAGTTGGAAAATTAAAAAGGCATATAGATATAATAAACGCAAGATGTTCTGATTTTAATAGTCCCAAATGAATTCTACTTACTCAAACAAGTAAAAAACGAGATATAGTGTAATAGAATGAATAAAACAGATCAACCACTGCAATGTGAAAAATTCCCAAAATGTAAGCACATTCAATTAATTTGAAAAATCCAATGGACCAGAACACAATGCTCACCTCCAAGAAAGACGGACGGACTTCAATTAGCTGAACAAATGCTGCACAAACCTGGTTACAAGAAAACATAAACAGGATCAAGCTTTGAATCTTATAGGTCATCAAAGTAATTCATATATATAAGATAGATGCTCAATGAGCAAAGGCAGGGCCAAAAGGCCAAAGCCTCTACTAGCAATTCAAACCAGCTGCTGGATTTGGAAAAAGAGCATGCGTTATTCAGTAATAAAGAATGAAAACATTTTATTCAAGTTACGTATACATGCACATAAAGCATTAAGAACTCACCAACTTCCGCACTTCAGCATTGGGGTCATTTGAGAGAATAAACAGACCTTGAAGATATTGATCCATGGATACATATAGAGCCTTTACAAAACAACTAAGACAGTTACTATCAATTCCAAACTGCAGTAGTTCTTTAATAACCAGAGAAGCTAGATATTATACACTTACAGAAGGCATTAACATAATGTATTGATTTACAGAACCCAGTGATAGCTTTCTCAATGAAGCATGAGGAGATTGGAAAAACTGAAAAAATAAAAATAAAAGAGAAGAAGAATAAACAGTTGGAGGATACATGTATAAGTGATTGAAAACAATTATAAAAAGGAAATACAGATGTTACCCGAAATAATCTGGGAAGAAATATGTTAATAGGGCGTTCTGCTAACCCTGGTACATCAGCATCAAGATATTGAGGAATATCTTCACAAATCTACATGCACAGTAAAAAATGAAATGTTAAAAAGGTGCTATTGGAAACAAATATTATAAGATATTAAGAATAAGTTGCTGAGACTGTAACTTATCCAGCCTGTTAAAATAATAGTACATAAATTCTTCATCCATATGACTTAAATTTTTCAAATGTCTGAGTTATATCAGATTTAATCAAATCAGATATAAAAAAATCAAGAATATTATTTGCATGAAAAATTCGACGAAGAATAAGATCATTCAATTCTTTGCCCACCAATCCTCCCAATTTTATGATTTGGCATCATTGGAAGAAGGGAGATGATTAGAAGGATATATGTGACACTTTTTAACACTTTGATCTCATTCATTTTAGTAAAGTTCAATTTTCATCCCCCTTAATTTTTTTATTGCCAAAACGTTGAACTTGAAGTTTCCAAAACTGGTGCAACTTAAGTCCCCTATTTATATCACATTGATATTGATGTCTCACACTTTTTGGCGAAAAGCATTGTGGCACATCATCTTCAATTTAGCAAAATCATAAAGTGGTCTCACATCATCATATTTTATGCCATACAAGCTTCAGAATCATTAGGAATTTCATTGCATCGGTTCAAAATGTATGAGGATAGCATTGCAGCTAAAGAAACAAGGGATAACAATCAAATTTTAGCAAAACTAAGACAACCAGGAGTAGAATTAAGAATTTTTGTTTTTTGGCACCACTGATGATTCTGTTTTCATGGGTTCCATGAAAGATACATGCTAGATGCTACATCCAATGAACCAAAGCTTCCACCAAACCCGAAAGAGAATGGATTGGGTACAAAAACAAAAACAAGGAATTCCAATATCCAATTAAATTTCATCTCAATGATCATTAGTTTCGTTTTAATCACAATTTTTTGCCAAAGCTTTTCTATCGACATTCACTACAATCACAGAAATAATAGCAATAATAAAAACAGCGATTATTAAAGAAACAGGGAATGGTACAAGAAACATATATCAATTATATTGAAAAAAACATAGCATCTCTATATGCCTGCATTAAGATGTTATTGTAATGTATGAACATGAAAAGGAATATTATTCTTCCTATACTGGGGACACATAATAAATACACCATTTCTTTATTTTCAGTTGTTACTTCCCATATTTTTCCAGTTACTATTGTAACAGGTGTACATAGAGAAAATAGAGAGGATAAATACACTGAATTTAACACTGTTCGAGCTACAAAAATTAAAAAACTGAAAGAAAAATTTCTAACATCATTAGCATTAATAAGTCACCCAATGCTAAAACCGTAATCCATCCGTCTCCCTTGATATGGACGCTCTGTACCACATTCTATAACCTATTGACCCATCACCCCACTTCCACCACAAAATTACCTGAGAATTCCTTTTCAGGGATGACATGCACTTTACAGGTTAACAAACGTACTGAAGTAGCAAAAGATCAAACAGTACCATGGGTTGAATGCAAAAACTTTCCAAAAATTTGTATAGTAGAATGGCAAAGCATATTAAATATATTGTATATTTTACATACAAATAATGTATAATTCATAATAATTCCTGATGTTAAAACTCAAAATTTTAAAAAAATATCTTGCTCCCTCAAAATCTCCTACTCATGTTGCCTGTGCTTTAGTATTCTCCTCTGCCCCCCTCCCCCCAAAAAAGAAAATAATATACCCCACAGAAGCTACAGAGAAACACATTCATGCATCCACATATGCATAAAAATATGGCAGTTTCTCCCTCATTTTCCTTACAGAAGTGTGCTCATTTTCCAGTGATGAAAACATGGAGACAATAGATTCGTTGGAAAAAGGTGGGATGCACTCTACTAAAATCAGTACATGTGAGTAACTGCACTATTCTCAATCCAACAGTTAATGACCCAACCATCCTATTACTATTTGAGAAAAATTCAATCACTGCAATTGCTATTGTGAGAGGGTCCATGTTGATGTGTAATTTGCTTTGATTTAAATAATTTTGTTGCCAACTCCAAGGAAGGCTCCTGGGAATCCTCCTTACCTCTGCCTCTATTCTTTCATTCTAACAAAAATTCTTCTTTATCGAATAATAATAAACTTGCCTCCTTTCTCTACAGGGGTTCTGAGTAGCATCAATCCATATAATGAAAGTACTTTCATTTTCTTTGAAGATTCTATTTTGGCAGAACTATAATTTAATAATATTTCATTGAATCTAAAGTCAAGAACGTACCTTGGATAATGCATCCATTGCACCTTCCATGTGATTTAGATCATTACTGTCTAAGCAATTTACGAGGGCTTGCAACAATTCAGGCCACCCAGCAACTCCTCCTATTTGAACAACGACACTAACAATAGTTCCTGTTGTAGACCTTATGTGCTTATCCGCTGCACCAAGACAAGGTAGCAACTCCGATTTCACATACTGTTGGTATGCAGGCTGCATAGATTTATAAGCATTTCTGAGGTTATTCTTCAGGTATAAGCCTGCAGCCTGACGAACTTCCACTGATTTTCCCTGCTCAATTGAAAATCACCACAGCACCATTATTATCAATGCAACATCAATTGAACCACAACTGCCACACCACACGTAGTTTTGCAAATAAATAAAATCTCAAAACGTTATTCCAGGTTAAACATATTTCCAAGGAGCACTTTAACTATTTCAAAACATCTGAACACGCTAACCTTTTCAGATGTAAGCCCAGAAACATTGGGTGTATTTTGTTTCGCATTGAAAGCACATAACGCGCGTAACAAACATGGAAAAGTGGAAAACCGATGCGACTTTGCTAATACTTGACAGAAACCAAACATGCTATAACATATCTTAAAACAATATAGGGACACTAAAAACAAAACAAGAGAGTTGACTAGTGTCATATCATTAACCGGTTAGAGCAAATTAATGAAGTTACAGCAACAGACAAAAAATAACAGAATTAAGAAACAGAGACTCGATGGAGTATCACCTTCATCAACCGCAGTAGATTTCACTCAGAACAATCAAATCAAGCACAAAAGACAACGACAAGAGTTCCGCATCACGCAGACTTAATCAAACCAAAACAACGCAAGGCGATCCTCACTCTTGCACATAGATGCAAACAAAGCACACATGAAAAGTCGCGTTTCGAGGAAGCAGAGACAATAGCAGTAGAAGAGTGAAGCGGAAATTGGCGAAGGAATACCTCGGCACGGGAGAAGATGAAGGCAAGGTAATTGTTGAAGTCAGGAAGGTGCGAGTAGCGTTGAAGGTGTTGCCAAATCTGAGCCTTGTCGGCGGACGAAGTATGCGAAATCTGTTGCTCAAGGAGGCCGCAGATCTCCTTGAACCCTTGCTCCTGAGGCTGCCACGATGGAGTCACCGCCGCCGCCGCCGCCATCGCCACCGTAATCCGCCCCCGCGAATTGAGTTCAATCACAGAGAGAGGGGTTTTCGGAATATTTGTAGGCGCAACAGAGAGAGAAAAGAGAAAGAGAACGACAGCGCTTTTAATTGAACGCAACGCAACTGCTTCAAGGTTCGCTCTCGAGCACACTCGCAAAACAATACAAATAACTTTTTGTTCTGCCAGCAAAGAAACAACCCTCTCTCTCTCTCTCTCTCTCTCTCTCTCACTCCTCACTGTTCACCCCCTCAATTATCCAACAACAAAAACAGTCATCGCCGCTTGCGTTGCGTTTCGTTTAGGTTAGGCCTTCGCTTCGTTGGCCCATGAAATCAAAATCAAAATAGGAAAATAATAATTCAAAAATCATGTTCAACTTCTCATCATCGTTTTTTCAATCTAATCCTCCACTTATGGTAAATTTCCGGAACCCACCTATTATTATTATTATTATTGTTATTATTATTATTATACGCAATAAATATATTATTTACGTTAATATATTATTAATGCACGTTCGTGAAGTCACAAACAAAAATAAACCAAACCCATTGGGTAGTGATTGAGTCCACGATCTGGCTAGAATGGTAGATAGTATGGTCATTACGTGAATAAAAAGACGTGCTTTCCAATGCTTTAGGGTTTAGGCTACCCATGCTTCTGCTTGGGTTTGCTGTGTTGGGGGAAGCAATAAATCAAATATAATTCACATTAATCATGTTTTGTGTCCTTAAACAAAGAGTTATGGATCATCATAATTTGCTACCATTAATTTTAAACTTTCGTTGCTCACCCTAATCATCCTTACCATTTTGGGATTACAAAATCATAACCAATGCTACAAATTTGGCCTAAATTACAAAAATATCGCTGTTTATACTTTTTTTTCTTAACATTGATTATCCTTTAACCAATTAAAAAACAATGTGTATTAACAAAAATTGAATATAGAAACCAACCACTTATAAATCGCCGTAAACATATATAATAATACTAAGGGGTTTTATTAAATTCAACATATTTCATGTTAGTGAGAAGATTCACTAATCTTGTAGTCTTTATAAAATATGATTAACACAAATCATATAAGAAAAATAATACTTGAAACATATAAGATGAACTTTAATTTTGGATTTAATTTAATAATAACCATATAAAATATTATGTTCCTTATAAGTCATGAGTAAAGCAAAAGAATCCATCATTCTTCTTTAGCAACAAAGTCATTTCCTAAATCATTAACAAAACTTCTTAAAGAAAATAACATAAGACTAATTCGTATGAATAGGAACACCTTCATCTTCATTGAAAATTTTTCGCTAAATGACAATAGCAATACATAAAGGTATTTATAAGGTGAGATAGATGTTATTTTTATAACATTCTAGTTTTATAACTTTACCTAAACAAAAATTATTTATAGATTTACTCCAAAATAATACTCAAAGCTAGAGCTAAGTGTCAAAAACATAAATCTATTGTCCTTCCAGTAACCTTTTTTAAAATGTGAAAGCGTGAGGTCCCCGTCTCAAGTTAAGTGAAGCATTTTGAAAATAATAAACCAATAAAATGTAATTTGAAAGACCTCAATACTTATTCTTAAGGACACTTGCCTATAAATTTTTAGGGGAATTTGCAACCAATTTTTTTAACTCCTAACGTGTTAACTGTGTTTGAACATATAGTGTCACTGTTTACAATTTTTTGTTTTACGTAAAAATAAATAAAAATAGTCAAACATAAAAGTTTATATACATCTACAAAACAAAAGTAAGTATTTTTAGTCCTTAACTTTATCATGACATAAATTTGTCCTTTTTAACGCAAATCCCAACTATTTGTAATATACGTTAAAAAACACGTTGTTTGTCAATGAGTGAAGCATAAGATTGTTTGTTTACTTTTTTATTTTTTATTTTTTATTTTTTATTTTTCAAGATGAAAAAGATTGGCTGTCTGCTGTTAAGACATGAATTAGATAAGGACCAGTTACCTAGAAATCCAATGCATTATTTAGAAAGCCAGATAAGTCATGATCCACATTTTCAAGAAAAGAAATAAAGATTGGATGTCAATATTAACATTTTGTCCAGATATAGAAGAAATGAAGCATATCCTTTTATCACATCCACATGATGCGGAAATCCTCTGCCAACAACATATCAGCATCATAAAAAATAAAAAATAAGAGATTTCTGGTCCGATTCTGCCCATAGATATCGGAATCCAATTACCTATATTCCTCTCAGCCAACATGCAATGTGTAAATCATTCAATACAAAGCCGAGAGAGAATCATCCGCAAACCCCACATTCCAGTTTTTAAATCCACAAGGCGAAGAAATGCAGAGATAAACAATCTCAAACATAAAAATTATCTATGTCTATACCCATTAATCTGGTTTTCCCATTCCTTTTATATAATAGTTTGAAGCCTAAAAATGTTACATTGTTAACCACTTTTAAGTCTTAGAAAACAATTGTTTAGCCAACTTTTGTCATCTGGTCTTGCACCTTTCAGGTTTGTCTTTCACACTTCAATTCATGGATTGTTTGATATGTAAAGCAGAAAAAACAATAATGCTGCACAGTCGTTGCAATCACCACTATAAAAGGTACTTTCAGAAAGCCTCGGTACTTGACCGCACGTTCTAAAGCTGTGGCCTTTTAAACAACTATTTATTATTCTAGCAGCACACATGGAGGGCTAAGAGAAGCATCATCCCAAGTATTCTTCTATTCCAGTGCCATGATTACACTGTATGGCGCTTAGTCCAGCACGTTGAGCGTGAGCTTTGCCATATGTATTCTTAGAATCTGGGATTAATCCGAGTTCCATTTTCATTTAAGGGCTGTATACAGACAGCAGGCAGAATGAATTCCACACTGTTAAGCAAGCACACAGGACTTGACTGAGTGTAAATTATAAGCAATCCTGGGAATCAATGGTTTCTGACATTCCATCTGCTTGCACACTAGTATTGGTTTTCTTTGTTCGTAGCCCAACAGTATTTGGCATAGACCCCTGATGACTTTAAAACCATACAACTGATTTCCAGTTTATGGTTTTCAACAAAAGAAACTTCCCTCGAATTATCACCAGAGGTTTGCAGACTCCTGAGAATCAATTAATTAGAACAAATCAGCTATAGATCAGTTAGTGCTAACATATACATTCCTTGTCAAACCTGTGACACCCTCGCTAACACAATCGGAATATCAAGCGACAATTTAATTGACTACAAAGAATGGGTGCTTTTAAGCATAGTAGTGCTTTTAAACATAACAATTATTATTTCTTAGTAGAAAAATACTAGCAATATTCTCATTTAAGCACAATACTCTTTCATATTAGTTAAAATTTATTGAAAATTACAAATTTTGTAGTCATCTTATTTAATGAAAATCTCATGATTTGGTAGTTTTAAATAGAAAATCTGTTACTAACACTCAACCATTAATATGATTTGCCAGAATTCAACCTACTCCTACAATTCAACTCTACCTCTCTCTCTTGCTTATTTGAAATAGAAATTTTTTTACATGGATTCGATACTCCTATTAGTCAGATTTGATTTATATTCTAAGAAATCTTAGTTCTAGTCATTAACATACTTTATCTTCAAGGATGAATCAATTTCAGAACCAAACAAAAAACACACTGCATTTAGAAAGAGTGAGCCTTCAGAAATAACCAAATCAAAACCAGTTGCCGCTACCCTATTACTTTGAGTAATAATCCTCCCAAAATAAACAATGGTGGCTCCAGGGAAAGTGAGGAAGGCAATGAAGGTGGTCATTCTTCCCCATTACTTGAAGCAACTTGACAATAGTCCTCAACTATATGTTAAGAATTGAATAGGAAGTACAATTAAAAAAAGAACAGTAGACATGAATTTAAAGGAGGTAAAAATACGGACAATTTTCCAAGCAGTTTATAATTTGAAACCAACGTCACATACAGATAAATGCTCTCCATAAAAACATGGCCAGCAAATGCTCTGCATAAAAGTTTCTAATCTTTATTATACATTTGAAACCAAGGTCACATACATATAAATAGCAAGCAGTTCATACAAGAAGTTCATACAAGCTATACCACCACACAAGACTGCTTTATGCAACACAACCTAACAAAATCAATAAATTCCTGCCTAAATTCGTATTATAAACAGTAATTCAATAAAAGATTAATTTATAACTTATTAGCTATTTATATTTAGGTAGAAATATTGGTATCATTAATTATCTCTATAATAATGTCGAAAATTAATAAATTTTTGGAACTAAAATTTTATATTAATTAATTAACAGTATTAAATGAATAATTTTATAATTCATGATCTTGTTATATCTAAAAAGAAATATTGATACAATTAACAAAATATATACTAAGGACGACCCCTGGCACAACAGTAAAGTTTTGGCTTGGTGACTAGTTGGTCATGAGTTCAAATCCAGAAATAGTCTATATGCATGTAAGGGTAAGGCTATGTACAAGGAGTCCGACCCATACCTTCACTTAGAAAGAGCCTGGCACCTAGGTACATTAGTCTTTTTAAGCAAAATATGTACACCAAGTACACACATACACAAAGGCCTCCAAACCATGTTTCATAGTATTTACAAGTGACAAACAAATCATCTAGGGGATGTTACATTTTCTCTCCCCCTAAACAAAATCCTCATAGGATTTCACATAGAAAGAGTCATAGAGAGTCTCCTAAGCTGTCAAGCATGAGAATCATACCATGAAAAACTACTCAACAATAGTTCTGTTTACTTGTAGAGGTAACAGTACCTCAAGACTTCAACTTTTACCTTGAAACCAGTAGTGTTTTGAATTGAAATATTACAAATGTTCATTCTTAAGCTTAACATCATGCACAAAGTCGGAATTCAAGTCTTTTAACCATTCTACAGCATAGTTAAATCAGATTTCTTTAAGCCCTACTTCTATTAGCATGCAATATAGCAGTAAACTCAAAAAGTTATGCTGTAATTCATTCATATACACATTGAGAAATTGGAAGAAGATCATTCCCAAGACTTAGCTAAAATGGTGGACTAATCACTGCAATGACTAATTTTTCACCCAATTTATTCTTTTCATTGTTCTTTTACAGTTTAACTAAAGAACTAAAAAAATGACATTATAAAATGATATTCATGCACACAAATCAAGATCACTCAAAAACATATAACCCTTTTTTAATGGAGTTTGCAACGTTACCACTGTCATAATTATGGCCAAAACCACGGTACTTAGTTTAAAAAATTAATAACATTCATTAACATATAGACTTGCAATGCAAACAAATATACTTTTGTAAAAAACCATTTCCCCTACTAAGTAATGAACTTTGAAGCTCGGGCCACTAGATAGTGAGACTTTAATATATTTTTATTCATTCCCACATAGCATCGTCAGATCTTACATTATTTTTTTCACATATCAAAAACATGCCTTCAGTGTAGCAAAATAGAATTTTAATCCAGATCTTACTGAATTTCAAACATTTAACTCGACAAGAAACACAAATAAGATCACATCAAACTTCAGCCTTGGGCCAGAGAATGAACAGTAATTGAAAATTCAGATTGTTTAGTAAACTTCTGCTCCCATGAACCAGTCACAGTTCTGCAAGGGAATTGATAAAGTTTGAACTATAAAATATTCTATTATTGAGCATGTTGGCTAGGACCAACTAAAGGATGACCCAAAAAATCCACAGTGAACATTTGTCTAGTTTGCTATTCCTCAATTAGAATATGGATACATAAAGTTCAGTAGACACATCACTAATGTTGAATCATTAATGACAATGGTAATTTCAGTACCTAAAAATAGAACTGGGGATGACCATGCCAAATAATTGAATCTTATGCTTATCAGTCTGACAGCATCATCTTTGCTTTTCCGCAGCCTGCACAGAGAAGTAAGTCAAAAAAACAGGTAGGATATCAGTGACAGGTGTCATAAAAAGTATTACGAGGCACAGGAACATATATTATACTGAGAACTGCGATTTATTCGTCAAAATTAAAGGAAACACATTCAGAACTGATCCTAGACACCAAGCTTAGCGAATTACTCTTTTTAAATTGTTATTCACGTTTTTATTTATTAGAGTCCATTAATTAAGTTTTCTTTAGAATAAACAGAACTTCATTGCAACAGAAGGAAAACACTAAGAAGATTAAATTAAAAACACTGGAGATTTAGGATTTTATCCATGAGTATCTACATCATCGAAAAAGGCCATGTTAAGTCAAACAAGACGACCCAATAACTCAATATAAAGAACAACACAGCTTGAATTGAAACAATTTAAACTGTGAAAAGGGCACATGCGAATGGCAAACCTTTTGCAGTTTCTTCAGAACAGAATCCTCAAAAGCTTGATACCCAGCTCCAACCAGATTACTCATCCTGGCAGTTTCAGCAGACTTCGGAACACTGGAAGAATCTGCCACAGTTGCCGGTTTAAGCGGTAAAACCAGCAACGGATTAGCAAGATGACCAATCACACTTCCCGTAGCAGCAACCTGGATAAATCCACAATCACAAATTAGCAAACCTGGAATAAGGCCTACTTTCAACAATTTCTCACGTATTTCTTCCCCTAAAAAAAGATTGTAAACTGCAGTCACAGTTATGTTGTACAAATCACAGACAAATGCGGCTACAATTGCTGTAAAAATTAAAGTCACGGGCCATTTTTTTTCAAATCTTGCTCTGAGGTAAACAAACACTGGAAGAGAGAAACTTACAGTTCCTTCTTTAGTGGCCATAACTACGAGTGCAGAACCCTTCTTCTTACTTCCTTTGATGACAACATCTTCCACTTCACCAAACTTTGAAAACAATTCCCTCAACTTATCAGCTGAATAATCCTCACCCACCTTCTCCCACGAAACCTTCAGGACCTTCTCTTGATCCACTCCACCTCCCCCACCGGCACGGCCACTCTCCTCCGGTTGCGGTGGGGGTGGCGGCGCCGCCTTCATCCCGTGCATGGCACGAATTCTCGCGATCTCCTCCTTCAGCTGGCGCGCGATCCTGGCCTCCTCTTCGCGCTCCTTGGCGGCGGGGTCGGGGGCGTTGGCGTCGCGTTCCCGGCGCTCGAGATCGGAAACCATCTTCCGGCGCTTTCCGTCGCGCTGGGAGTGGCGAAGCTCGCGCTCGCGCTTTACGCGCAATAGGTCATCGAACAATTTACGGGCTTTGTCGTCCCGGAGAATGTCGTAGGAGGTGCGGAGCTGTTGGAAGTTGGCGGCGGCGTTGGGGTCGTCGGGCCTCTTGTCGGGGTGCAGTTCCAGAGCCTTCCATCGGTAGGCCTTGTTGATTTCTTTCTCCGTTAGCTGCGCACCTTCTTCCCCCGATGGTAACCCTAGCACCGCATAGTGATCAATCTCTGCATCCATTTTTCCCCAAAAATTCTTCTGCAACGATAATTAATTCCTCAAAACCCTAACCTTGACAACACTGGAAGAATTTGCAACTTACAGATGATAATAATCTGTTGCTACCACAAGGCCTTTCAATTGAAATGTCCAAATTGGCTTTTGGAGGGTTTTAAATCAAAGAGAGGGCTTTTGTTGATATTATGTTTTTAACTCACATCATTAATAATCAATGTTAATAGAGTAAAAATTGGAAACTAAAATCCTTTTCTGACTAAGGATTAAAAACAAAAAACTGAAAACAAAAATTAAAAGGATATTACATCCTTTAAAAGATTTATAATTATCTTCTAAAGCTATTTTGATAATGTTTTTCCTAAATGTTACTTAATTAATTTTTGTAAATTTCCTTTCTTTTTTATTAGAGATAAATTATTCTTACTTATCCATATTTTTTAATTATAATTTAAGATGAGAACAAAATTTAAAAAAAAACATGTAATTAATGATGTTTTTAAAAATATAAATGACACAAACTGAAAGTATTAAAAAAACACTTTTTATTAATTAACTTATTAATTATATTAAAAAAATAAAGGGAAAAAAATAACTATACAAAAAATCCTTTATATAATCATATGAACACTTAGATGACTAGAAAATAACTCAATTATATCATGTCTTTATAAGTTTCTTGTTTTTAAACATAATTTTGAAATCCAAATAAGGTTTAGAGAAAAAAATGATATGGTTTTTAAATCAATTTTTAACCTAAAAAGAAAAAAAAACCTACCTTACTTCTTCAACAAAATAAAAGAGCTTTACATTTTATATTTTTATTTCATTTTCTCCTCCTCACACCATGATTTATTTAGATATATAATGAAATGGAGATAAAATGATTGAGAAGGAAATAAAAAGAAAATAGAGTATTTTTGGGAATGAAGAAAAATTGTTCTCCACTTATTTGATAAATGAATAAAATAGAGAAAATAAATAAATAAATACATTATATAAATATATTTCATATCATTAAAAATTGTCTCTTTTTTTTTACAAAAATTATAATTTTTATTATTATTATACGAAACCGTAAATTATAAAATTAATGAATTATTACGTAATATGTTAGTTTGTAAAAGAATGATGGTTTAACCTTCTCATTTCAACCTTATATCTAACTTAGAGTTTTTTTTTGTAATCATTAATTATTTATTATATATTATTATTATATTAATATAATTTATTTACTGTTGAAACATTCTTAAAGGGAATTTTTAATAAGAATTATTTAAAAATAAAATTAAATATTTTATTATAACTCTTATTACTAAATGACTTAAAATTTAGTCAAAATTATTTATTTAAATAAATTTTTTTAATTTTAAGTATTTTTTATTTTTAAACCTCTCAAACATATACTTATAATAAAATATTTATTTTTATATCTAAACTTTTGTTAGCAACTCTTTTAAAGTTTTTTTAGATTAAGTTTTAATGGGAAGTTATATCTAGAAAAAGAGATAATAAATAAGTTTGTTTTGGTTTTCCAATTCCTTTTTCTTCCTAAACAAACTTAAGAATGTTTTCATCTTTCTCAAATCCCTCTTTTTCTAACTTGTCCATAGTATGCTCTTCCTATAGTATAGTTTTCACTAAAGATGAAAAATACATTAGTCTTTATCAATGTAACTTGTCCAAAAAAAAATTTTAATTGATATATAAAATTTGAAAAGTAAATTAAATAGTTAACTTCAACAAATCTTTTTCTCAAATAAGTTATTTAAATTAGTCTCTCTCTCTCTCTCTCTCTCTCTCTATATATATATATATATATATATTATTATTTAATTTATATATTATTAATTATTTTAATTTTACTTTTTAATTATTTAAATGTATTTATGTTTTTTCTCCACTTACTCATTCTATCATTTTTTTTCCTTTTCAACTAATTTTTTAAATATATAAATTATAATATTTTTTTATCCTTTTATAAATTATGATATAACAACACTTTTTTTTAAAACCAAGACGATTAAAAAAAATCGTTTATATATAATATAGATTTTTATTTTGTTTTTTTTTTCTTACTTCACTCTATATCTCACCTCACGCTCTTTTTCTTTTCATTTTGTCTTTTTCTTTCTCCAACACAAAAAATAGTTAAAATGGAAAAATTATCTTTATATATATATATATATATATATATATATATATATATATATATATATATATATATATATATATATATATATATAACAGGTAAAGATGTTTTTGAATGTTTTTTTTTTCTAATGGTCAATAGTCAATAGTTTTATTAAATAGTGTTAAGTAACTACGAGATTAAACTGATACAGAAACACAATTTTTTCAAGAGCGTTATATTATAGGTTAATAACAATATCGTCATAGCTCCAATTAAACTACAAAAATTAAACACATTTAAAAATCAATACTTTCAATCTTCAAAACCGTTATATTTTATAAGCAATTACATGGCATCACTAAAAAATATATTACAATTCTCAATACCTTTAAATCCCTATATATATTCGGACATGACGTTTTCTTTGGAAATAGTTGAAACAAAATCAGACACTTGACCCAATTGATGTACAAAATCAGGCAATTTATAAATAGCATTTAAATTTGAAACATTTTCAATTCAAAGTTAAATTAAATTCAAATCAAATGAAATCTCTTATATAGTATAATATAACGAAGAATACTATGAAAAACAAATCAAATCTTATATTCCTAACTAAAGTAAACACGGACAATAAAAAGTGACCAAAGAATATATCTTTATTCTTAATTATTACGTCGAGTTATTAGGATTTAATTGGAAGTTGAATTAAATAAGAGCAGAAGTAGGGAAGAAATTGAATCACCGATTCTTGTTGACAAATGGCGGGTGTGTGGACATTGGACAGCAACAGCATCATTAAGTCAGCCAAATAGCGGGGAATAAAGCTGACATGTGAATCATTTTAAATAAGAAGCGAGATAGGTATAATGATATTTATCAATGACTCCTACCTTCGCAAGACGGTCCAATAACTGGATTTACCAAGCACGATGGAATAATGGGTTTGGAGGTTGGGCCTACAAAATGATAGATACAAATACAAATATTGCCAGATTCCCCAGGTTATAAATGCTTGTTTGCATTATTAATAAACTAAAGCAGATAAATACATCCAGGAAGCGTCCAAAAGACAACAGTCCTGATTATGAATATCCTAAACAATCAAATTACAAGATAAATAAAATTATATGAAACAAACAACGTACATTGGGAAAGCAGTCTCCACATATTCCAACACCAGGGAATATGAGCATTCCACAATGCAATTGACGCCAGCCATCCCAAACTAACATAACTCATTTCCCCCCACCAAAAGAAAAAATGGCTCAGGAATCATAACATCCATGGGGTCTACTTTTCTGACTAACCGACCGACTCAAAATATGAGGCACTCAAACAGACTCAATCCATTATTGTATTTATGCTGCATAGAAGAAATGTGGATTTGGGGGAGAAAGCAAAGAAACAAATAAATTGCCGATGACACTAGGCACTGGTTGAGCAAGAGACCAAGGTATACGAACTTGCTTGCTTAATCATCAGTTACCAGCATCTCGGCTGTAATACTGGTCAAGAGTCTTGGCTGGTATGCGATGAAGAAGTTCACGAGGGAAAATCCGGAGTAAAGTCCAAGCAAGATCTAGTGACTGGAATATATTGCGGGTGTCATAAGCTCCCTGGGCAACAAACTTCCTCTCAAATTTCTCCAAGAATTCCAGATACAGCTGTTAATAAAAGGGGGGAACGAGTTCCATTAATACCATTTCAAGAGAAATTTCACTTAATGAAAGAAAAATACTTAAGATAGAAATTATTAGAGACCAGGTCCTCTGATGAAAGTGCTTCTTCTCCAACCACTGCTTTCATTGCCTGAACATCCTTTCCAATAGCATAATTTGCATAGAGCTGAAAAACAAACACGATTGAGATAGTTTGTGAACAGAAAAATAACTATGTGATGAATACAACAATATCAAACCTGATTGGACACATCAGCATGATCCCTTCTGGTCATTCCCTCACCAATAGCACTCTGCAGAGGTGACCAATGATGCACCATTAGAGTGTGAACAACTTGCTTTGTGATTAAGAAACAGAAAAATAGTTATCACTTGAAAGCACTTTGATATCAAACAAACAAGATTAATCTTACCTTCATCAAACGAGATAGTGATGGGAGGACATTGATAGGTGGGTATATCTGCTCAGTTAGAAAAATTAAAATGTTTAGTTTTGGCTTCAATATTTAATCAAACATTAAATGCAAGCAATTAACCACCAGATCATTTTGCCAGAATTATAATAAAAATCTCCAACAATATAACTGGTGACATCTTTTACAACAATCCACCTTGATGTGTTGTACGAAAAATAAAACCAAAACATTTCAAACTTATATTCAAAGCCATGAAATGATAGAAAGATTAAAAGTTGGAAGAAACCCCGACAAACTTTTCACGTGGACACTAATTTTTAATTGAATAACAAGCTAGCAAATGACTGTTAGTTATATGGCAATAAATGTTACGACGATACATTCTGCACCAAATTCTCTCTTGTACTAAACCCAACTCCGGTGTACCACGTTCATTACATCTGAAAGCTTCAACATAAATAACCCACCTGTCTGTTATACAGCTGCCTGTCGATGTATATCTGCCCCTCAGTGATATATCCTGTTAGATCAGGAGTTGGATGCGTAATATCTGAACAGAAGTTCAAAATATGATCATTCAGTATTAAGAAATTACTATACAAGAAAGCTGATGAACTTGTAAATTTCATTACCGTCGTTGGGCATGGTTAAAATTGGAATTTGTGTAATAGAGCCTTTACGTCCCTCAATTCTTCCGGCACGTTCATAAATTGTTGCAAGATCTGTATACATGTATCCAGGATAACCACGTCTTCCCGGCACTTCTTCTCGGGCAGCAGATACCTATGGAATGGAATGTCATTAAAGCCTCTTTCTTCTTTTTTCACTAAAGGCTATAAAGGTTTCAAGTCTCCTATCCTTTTGTTGCTTCTTTTCCAAACAACTTACAGTTGAAGGTACATTATTACCTCACGAAGAGCATCAGCATAAGAACTCATATCTGTGAGTATCACAAGAACGTGCTTGCCACATTCATAAGCCAAAAATTCAGCAGTAGTGAGAGCAATACGAGGAGTGATAATACGTTCAATTGTGGGATCGTTTGCCTGCGTTAAATCAGATACTCACATTAGCAGAGAACAGACATTTTAGAAATTAGCTCCATCATGAAGTCATGAAGTGAAAAAACCTCATGTAAATATCGCTTTTAATGAAGGCGAGGTCATTCTCAATGCATCATACTATCTATCACCTCGTGTTCCACAAATACAGCGCGATAGTCCACTTCTAAATTTTTAATGTCATACAAGAAACAACTACCTTACTCAGTTATCATTTATTTCTTCACCACCTTGTACAGCCTAAAATTTTTAACTTCTTTATTTCACTTAAATTAAAACATGCATTTAAGTCCATATTAACATGCCAAAATTTAGTTCTGCACTGATCAAGAGACGTTAGATTTAAATTAAATACAATAACCGAAATGTAAGAACTTGTTAAATAAAAAACTATACTTTGAATACGTTCCAAGCATGTATTACAAGACAATATTAGGGTTACTATATGGTTTAACTTGTAAACTACTCCAGCACAGTGACTGAAAAGAAATTCGGGAAATAAAAGGTGAAATACCAGACTATGGGGAATAAAGAACACTTTCAGACAGATTTTAATTTTCAAAGATTACCAAATTAAGAAAAAGAGTCACTCTCTCCATTGAGCCATTCTCCTCAAAGTCACGTTTGAAAAACTGTGCAGTCTCCATGTTAACTCCCATAGCTGCAAAAACAATAGCAAAATTGTCCTCTTCTCCTCCCTGCATAACATGATATTTCTGAGAAAAATCACTCATCTTACAGAAAGTCCAGAAGTAATGAGTTTAAGTAAATGATTATGCAAAAATAATCAAAAGGAAATAAGAAGCAATAGATTTGTAAGAAATCAAACAAATGAGATGATTTCAAATAACCCCGCAAGCTTTTCATAAGTTCAGTACAGATGTTCGAAAGAATCAAAATAGCGATAGTGATTAATAAGCTATTGGGAATTATAGGAGTAAAAGAATAATTATAGTCATATAGGGAATAGTTTAATTTTATTATTGCTCTGGCAAATGTTTCACATTTAGTCTTTTATGTAAACTGTCTAATTGCATATGTGTATAGTTCAGCTTATTTGAAGAAGTGGTTGTTTATTTTTGCCAGTTTTGTGAGAGACCTTAAAAATATGTCGCATCTGCAAATTGAGTATGCAAAGCCGAGAGGCAAGTCAGCTGCCTTAAAACTCATGAAAAGTGCAGTTTGTTCCAGCAAATACCCAAATCAATAAAATATTACTATAGTAAAATGGAATGTTTCCTTTTTCTGGTTGTTCTCGGTTCTCTCCTTGGATTGGATTTATTCTGTGATTTGACTGTTTTTCAAAAGTGATTTACTTTTAGTTTTCTGCCTTGTGGCTTCTTTTGGAAGATCCCTATCGGCTTTGTATATTCCCAGACCCATTCAATAAAATTTCTTTCACTATCCCTAATAATCTTAAGGGATCTGGATGATAAATAATTAATTACCAATTCCCAAAAGTCATTCAAGAGCCTGTAACATATTTGACAAAATGCACCATAGGAGATCAGCTATACCTCAAGTAGATTATCAGATTTCTCTAGTCGCTTCACTAAGCCAGCCTGACGACATATCTGTGCAGCAATTTCATTATGGGGGAGACCAGCTGCTGAGAATAAAGGGATCTTTTGACCCCTAGCAATAGAATTCATGACATCAATTGTAGATATTCCTGTCTGTATCATCTCCTCGGGATAGGTTCTCTCACTAGGATTGATAGAACTTCCTGAATTATTGGGAAGATATTAGGGGGTGGGAATAATCATATGTGTTAATACAGTGGCAGAACAATGCAAAGGAATTCAAATACCAGAAATATCCAGGTATGCCTCAGGTAAAATTGGTGGACCATTATCAATTGGTTTTCCAGAACCATTAAATATGCGCCCAAGCATGTCCAGTGAGACAGGAGTTTTTAACACCTTTTGACATAAACAAGAAAGAGAGCAAAGGAGAAAATCAGAAGGTGGAATAAACTGATTCCAATACAATAAAAGTAACATGCAAAAGAAAGTCAAAGAAAAAGTTTATAGGAAGAATTTTAGCTTCAATTCAATAATAATATTCGTGTAAATTATAAGGGAACTCAGGGACTAAAACATGTGAAATTAATGACTTGAGGAATAACCCCCCAAGAACAATACAATAGTAATCAGCAGCCAAACATTATGCTTACTACAGCTTTGATGTATCATAACATGTAGATGTGCCTATGTTATATCATAAAAGAAAATCTCCACTTTCCACTGCAAATATCAAGTAAAATAAATGCATGATGTAAAATTAGAAAATGAATAAGGTAAATTGATCAGCAATGTGAATTATTTCGATAATTGTGAAACCCAATTTTGTCAAGGGAGGCAAAATTGCTGCTTGAACAAGCTATAGTTATAATGGGATTTGTCTTGTGTATTTAGAAGAAAACACATTAAAACGCAGCCAAATCAGGTCAATTATGTTTTCTCTACTAGTAATATAGGATATACAAAATTTAAATTTCGATGCTACTCATGGAGACAAGTCACCATAAGGCGGATAATTTCATGATGAAAAGTCTCAACAAAATTTGCACAAATAATTATACTTGTACTTCTTCACAGAGAACACTAATACTTAGTTTGTACCTCTCCAGTAAATTGCACAGTTGTAAATTTATTGTCAATCCCAGATGTACCTTCAAATACCTGGCCAATTGTTAAAAAAAAGGTGAATAAACATTGAACTATTGATAATGGCACTAGCAGAATGGTAAAACTAAAACATTAAAAAAATATTTGTTATTTAAGTCAATACAGCAATATCCCCACTTGGTGGGAAATTTCTGCATCGGGACATACTTCTAAAGTTACTGCAACTACATTAGTAAAGACAACCTAAGGCATTTCTTACTAAGAAAACTGCTCACAAAGATTGAGAGGACAGGGGAATCTTATAATGTTTTGGTTACGTGTAAAGATAAGCACATAAATCTAAAAGTAATCAACTCAGTTTCAAAGACAAGAGACAGGTACATAAAAGGCTTATGTTAAGCATGCCAAAGGCTCTAACCTGAACAACAGCCTTTTCACCATCGACCTCTAGAACTTGTCCACGCCGAGTAGTTCCATCTCCTAAACGAATATTAACAATCTCTTGAAATTTGGGTCCCTGATGCAGTTTATCAGAATGAAACTTTAATCACAGCAGTAATAAGACATTCACATTGAAAATACCAGAAATTCAATGAGAATAACAACAAGCATGCCATCATTACCTTAACTTTGTCAAGAATGACCAATGGTCCAGCAACTCCAGATACAGTTCTGTATTCTGCAACATTAATAAGCAAACAAATAGTTTAGGGAGAAACTGAAAATAATGGAATAAGTACCACAAGTTATCTTGATTGATCAAGCGTATCAACTCAGTAGTCCACTAGTCTAGCTTGCAAACCCTCTTTCATGCATTATGGCAAACACTAAATATCCTTTCTTCATTTATCAATGACTTGGTGTATACACACCCACAGGGAAGGGAATCCAATCACAGTTGAGAAATAATTAAGACAAGCAAACCAATAAGACACATACCCATTCCAATCTCCAAGGTACCATCCTCCGTATCGTGAACATTCTGAGCCACGCCCATCTTGAAACTTCAAACAAGCAGACAAAACAAGAGACGTACAAAAGTCAACTCATGCCAAATCAAAAAAACAATGAGAATCAAAACATAAAAGTTAAAAGGCATGATCTCGTCAATCAATTAAGACAAAGCAAACACCAAAAACACAATCCAACACAAAAACCATCACAGTAATATATATATAAAAATATATATATATATATATATATATATATATATATATATATATAAACCATTAAATTAGTCTTTGAAAGATTAGTTAGTTACCACGAAAAACAGAGTAAAGAATTCTTTTCACTAAATCAGCGCATCAAACAACAACCTAATTTTCAGAAAAAAACAATTTAACGTTCACACTAACAAAAACATGAGGAAAATAACAACACTCCGATCCAAATTGCACTCCGTTCGTGCGTGGAAAAATGGATTGATCCAAACCAATCGCTACTGAACTAAGCGGTTGAACTAGGTAGGAACAAATAAAATAAAATAAAATAAAATAAAATAAAACAAAGGTTGACTAACAACAATAACAACAGCCGTATTCAAAATTGAAGCACAGTAGCTTTATTTCAGTAGATAAGTGATCGAAGCGAGAACTAGTTTTCCATACTCTGATTACTCGAAAACCTTCGTAACAGAGAAATGAAAAACCGATACTAAGATTTGAGCAAAACAATGAGATCGAGAAACGCAGAATTGAAGGATGATCGTGAGAATGAAGCATGAGGAATGAAAAAATGGATCGAAGGAGGGAAGAACGCACCAGCAAATCGCTTACGATTTTCGTGATCTGAGGCGGAAGAGAGACGTGGGTGAGGGAGGGACTGAGGGTGAGGAACGCGGATCTATTGGACCAAAAATTTTAACAGAACATGAAATTATTAAATTCCAATTTTTGTTTATTTGGAAAATTAATTAAAAAATAAAAGAGAGTAAAATCTCTCCGGGTTCAACTTCGGTTTGAAGGGTAACTGCATTTTTCTCGGGTGCAAAAATAAAAATGAAAGAGGGACCCACCCAAATTTCCATGATGCCAGAGTGTCAAGTGCCAAGAGTGACACGTTGCAATTAGGTTCTGTCATTTTCGGTATTTAATCCATGATGGGGAAATTAACAATTATTGCAAGACAAATCATTAAATAATTACATGCTTTGGTACCTCAATATATTTACGCTCTCCAAGCATTTTCACTGCAAAGTTGAGTTATATCAAATATTTCTTATAAATGCGAAATCTTAATTACATGTAAGAGTTTCGGACCACATGATATTTTTCATCTGAGGTATTATTATAATATTTTTTTATTATATAAATTTTGCAGAAAAAAAGAGCATACGATTATGTAAGTTAAAACCTTGTTTAATGCATCCACTCTGAATTTTGTAATATTCGATAAAAAAATTCACCAAAATTACCATCATTCGGTCATTTCATTGTTTTTTTAATGGAGCAAACATAAAAATTATTAACTATGAATATAATATTGATGACGGAGTACAGAAAAGTTATATACTGATTTTTATTTTTAATTTAATTGTCGATTGATAAGGTCAAAACTATATGGTGTTCAGGAGTTGACCCTTGAAATTTTTGCAATTTAATATATATATATATATATATATATATATATATATATATTGTGTGAGTGTATTAGATAAAATATGTTTTATTATGATATTAAAAATAATATATGTCTAATATATTAGTATTAACAAATTATATTTTAAAATAAAATAATAATATTTTTTATAAAATATTGTATTTTCTCCCATTTATATGTACTAAAACAATTTTAATAATAAAAAAACTATGTGAATAATAGAGAAGAAAATAATATAATATAAAAACTCTAAATATTATTAAAAAAATAAAGTCAATGTGTTTCAGTGGAATTTTGATCGGTTTCGACTCTTAAGATATTTTGATCCAAATCAAAATTCTACCACGTAAGTTCTTTTTTACTTAGGCTAGCAAATTAATTTTCAATTGAGATGCGTATAAGGATCGAATTTTACCCGATTTCAAAGATGTCATTTTTGATATTTTATATTTAAAGTGCTCGAAGTAAAGAAAGCAGAAAATTAATGGAATCGAAAAGCAGTGCTGAACATTTAATTGCAAAGAAACGTAACATGCGAAGATCTTAAATTCGCTTTAAGTATAAAAGACAAGGAATCGAAATAGCAGAAATGTAAATAACAGGAAATCGAATTTGCAGGAAATGTAAATGACAAGGAAACTTAACTTTCATTGAATCGAAATGACTAAAAATCGAAAGTACAGAAACATAAAATTGCTGAAGATAAATTGCATCAAAGTAAATTACCAAGGAAAATACAGAAAACGGTAAAGGTACTCAATGAGCATGGAAATCCAGATTGCCAGAAGCTTCATGATGTTCGTCGTTTCTCCGGTAGACTTCTCACTAATGATTCTGTTCTCTGCCAATTTTCTGCTCCCTTTTTCCTTTCATCCTTCGCCCTATTTATAGAGCATCCTTTAAGCAAGTAACTTCTTAAGAGCAGTTAATGAAAATTGCTACCACGTCCTACGTGCATGTTGCAGTTTCTTCTTCGGTGTCAAAACTGCACCCACGTTCCCATGATCTTCGACTTCTGTCATGGTTTAAAAACTGCCTTCACGTTCCTATACATGAGGTAACTGCTTCTTTGACCGACCTTTGCCATCGCTTGCCACGTTTGACGTACACGTCCATTGTTTCTTTCTTTATAACTTATCCGGGATTTCGATACATGGGTTAGCCTTTCTCCGATGTTGATTTCGGAATCTCGAGAACGTTTGACTTGCCTTTGATTTCTCTTAATCTTAACATTACATAATTCTGGTTTCTCGATTTCATTCACTCACGGATATTAAACATTCATCCTTCGATTCTCGATTCAAACTCTCGCTTATATTGTCACATGGTCGTCGAACGCATTTTCCAGCTATCTTTCGATTTATCAGTCTTTAACTCAATCAAAAAAGATTCTCGATTTGCTCCCATTTGTTTCTCGATTTTTCTTCCCTTCGTTTTTTTTTTCGATCACTTTTCTCGATTTTCCACTAACAAAATGCCCCCTTGGAAGAATATAAATAGTTTCCTTTTATATTCTTTCAACACGATTCTCGCTTTTGCTCGTTGGAGGCCCACAATGATTTAGGGTTTAGGGTTTCTGGGGTTTTAGGGTTTATGGGTTTTTAGGGTTTCTTTTTGCTTTATGTCGCCGTCTCGTCAGTCTGCTGCCTTGTAGTACAAGCCACATTAATTACCCTTGCTTCCGTCGTTTCCAGCACCCTAGGTAGCTTTCCCCTTAAACTCTATTAGTTTTTTACTCTGATTTTTTACGCGAATTTTTTACCTCTTTGCAACATCGTCTTCCTCTTTGAGCTCTTGCCTTCGTCCTTGCTACTCCACCTTTTAACCTTTATCCTGCTGCTTTCTTTAGCTTATTGAAATGGCAACTTCGTCCAAGTCTTCTGATTTTTCGGCTCCACCTCTTCCTTCGCTGACGGCTAACTTTCTGGAGATCAATAACCATAAGTTTGCTCCAGTCCCTCTTATAGAGGAAGCTTCTCAGAAAGTCGCTGAGACGCAGGTACTTATTCCTTATACTGCTGATGGTGTTAATTTTGGTTTTGGAGGTCCTATTCGTTCTAGTAGTGGGACTTTTTCTTCCTTCACCCTCTCGAATAGCCCAACACTTATTCACCACCCTGAAGTTCAGATTGATTTTTTGACTATGGTCTCGAGAGTATACCGAACGGGTCCTCCTTCCAAAAAACCTTCTTTTATTAAGTGGTTTGATAGAGTAGAAGCCAAGTTTGGGAACCACTAGAGAGATGTAGGGATTTTTGATTTTTTACACCTATCTCGATGCGACTTGTCGTTTTTGGATATGACAATGTTTTTGTCTGCGGTGCATTTGTGGAATAAGGAATTACATGCTTTAGAGTTACCCTGTGGTCCCCTTTCACCTACTCTCTTTGAGGTTGCTGCTATAACTGGACTAAAACCCACTGGGGAAAAGTATTATAAGGGTGTTTACCCTTCGGATAATTCTTTGAGGTCAAAAATCGATTGGGAATCGAAGGCCTATGGTCATTTCCTTGAGAAGCATTTCGTCGATGACGAATCGATAACTGTGACTGACGAAGAACATATAGCCTTTTTGGTGTATTGGCTATGTACCCATGTTTTCTGCCCCCGATCCATCCAAATTTCCTCTCACCTCTACAACCTTGCCTACCTCCTCCATACTGGCCGGCCTAGGATATGTTTGACTAAACTTTTGTTGGCCCACGTGTATACTGCTTTCGACGAAGCTGTCGACATTTTGAGTACTCCTAAAGCATCGGGGAATTTCTCTGGCCCTATTTGGTTTGTACAGTTATGGCTGAACTCGATTTTTGAGAGCATCCTTTCCCCAACTTCCACTATCCCCCCAAGTGTAAATATCGAAGGTGCTCGATTGTCTTCTCGCCACCCTCATCACAAGCCTGACGAAGCGGCTTACTGTAGATATCTTAAGTTTTTGTTAACTAGATTTAATTTCGATTCAACTCTGGCTCCCTTTACCGTGCATCTTGGACGAATCAGCGACCAACTTCGAGGGCCAGTTTGGTTTAAGTCAAAATTCCCTTCCTTAACACCTGGGTTGCAATCGGAGTTGGTTGATGTATGGAGTAGTTATTTGACCCATGATGTATTAGTATCGGGTTTTCAGCCAAAAGATTTCAAGCTCATCACCTATTACCCCCAACTTTTCTCGAGACAATTTGGTCTGAGCCAATCCACACCTTTCTTCCCCCTCGATACCTCCCCAAGGTCCAAGTTAAGTGAGTCGACAATCGGACGGGAGTTGACCAAACTACTACCACAAACCCCACTACTTTTTTATCCCTATGCTTTTGAATCAAATTATTTGTCAATTGTGGGTTTCTCTCAATGGTGGGCTGATTGGTTCTCGAGTAATCATTCTGCTTTTGACGAAGTCCGACAAAAATTGACTGCTCATCCTTCTCTTGTATTGTAGGACAAATCGAAAGCGAAGAAAGGTATACACTTCCACTGTCTTCAAATATCTCGATTCGAGAATTTTTATCAAATATGTTACAACCCACTGAAATTAGAATCGACCTTTTACGATGTTGTTATCTCCTTATCCAATAAAACAGACACTAATCGATCGAACCACAAAATAATCAATCCTCTAGGTAGAACCCCTTTTGAAATGTATTGCCCAGATCGCCTTCCCACTTTTCCCACAGCTCCTTTTGGACTTGCCAAACCTTTAACTCATCCCAAATGGGTTCGAGAATTGAGATCCCTAAGGGAAACACTTCGCCCAAAACCCAAAAACAAAAATATTTCTGTATCGAAATTATCTTATTTCCCTTACCTCCATCTCCCTCAAATTCTCCTGCCTTCCTGGCTTGTACATATCGATCGAGTCACGATTTTGACTCCATCACCTTTTGGTGAGATTTTACTGCTTTTTTATGCTTTTTTGATTCTGTATATTGTAAGCTAATCTGTCTTCTTTTATTGACAGTTTCGAAGTCCACCAAGGCCATCGCTGTCGAGAAAGGGTAGGAGAAGAAACAGGAGGACTGGGAGTCTTCAGATGAGTCGGACCCATCGGCCTTCGTCAGAAAACGCAAACATTCGGCCATCATTTCCTCATCTTCAAAGAAATCGAAGGTTCTTTTCGAGTGCTCATTGTTTTATTCATTTTTCTATGTCTATGGTTGATCCATTTTGGATTCTTATACCTTTTTTATCTTTAATTTTCAGAAAAAATCGAACAGTCCTCGATCTGTCCAACCATTTGCCCTTGATCCATTATCGACGAACTCTAACACGGTTCCTACAACGGGCCAAACAACACCTGCTACTCGCTCAAGTCACGTAAGTTTCCTTTTTACACAAATTTTATATTTGTTAGAAAAGTAGTTTTAAATCAAGAGGGGGGGTGAATTGATTTTTGAAAGTTTTTCGCAATAAACAGATTATCTAATTCGAAAATTAAGTTTACTAATCAATTCACGAATCACAAAGCAATTAAACAATACAAGCGC